TGAGGCTGAGGCTGAGGCAGGCTGAGGCTGAGGCAGGCTGAGGCTGAGGCTGAGGCTGATGCAGGCTGAGGCTGAGGCAGGCTGAGGCCGAGGCCGAGGCTGAAGGCAGACTGAGGCTGAGGCTGAAGCTGAGGCTGAGGCTGCTGAGGCTGAGGCAGGCTGAGGCTTAGGCAGGCTGAGGCTGAGGCTGAGGCTGAGGTAGGCTGAGGCTGAGGCAGGCTGAGGCTGAGGCCGAGGCTGCAGGCAGACTGAGGCTGAGGCTGAAGCAGGCTGAGGCTGAGGCTGAGGCAGGCTGAGGCTGAGGCTGAGGCTGAGGCAGGCTGATGCTGAGGCAGCGGAGGCTGAGGCTGAAGCTGATGCAGGCTGAGGCTGAGGCAGGCTGAGGCTGAGGCCGAGGCCGACGGCAGACTGAGGCTGAGGCTGAAGCAGGCCGAGGCAGAGGCAGGCTGAGGCTGAGGCTGAGGCAGGCTGATGCTGAGGCAGGCGGAGGCTGAGGCTGAGGCTGATGCAGGCTGAGGCTGAGGCAGGCTGAGGCTGAGGCTGAGGCTGAGGCAGGCTGATGCTGAGGCAGGTGAGGCTGAGGCTGAGGCTGATGCAGGCTGAGGCTGAGGCAGGCTGAGGCCGAGGCCGAGGCCGAGGCAGACTGAGGCTGAGGCTGAAGCAGGCTGAGGCAGAGGCAGGCTGAGGCTGAGGCTGAGGCAGGCTGATGCTGAGGCAGGCGGAGGCTGAGGCTGAGGCTGATGCAGGCTGAGGCTGAGGCCGAGGCTGAAGGCAGACTGAGGCTGAGACTGAAGCAGGCTGAGGCTGAGGCTGAGGCAGGCTGAGGCTGAGGCAGGCTGAGGCTGAGGCTGAGGCAGGCTGAGGCTGAGGCTGTGACTGCGACTGCCGTTGCCACTGCGACTGTCGTCGCGAATGCGACTACGACTGCGAGAACAGCAGAATTCTACAACTGGATTCTCATCTGAATCTTAAGGGAATGCTTCCAGATATGCTCCTACACATCGCTGTTCGGTTGCTTCGCCGGGATAATTTGGGAATCTGGTTTTGCGGCGATTCCCCCCCTCCCCCTTCTGATAAGTTCTGATGTCATACGAAGCTCTCAAAAAGCTCTCTGGGGAGCCCCTGGGGCTTGGAAACCTCTCGGCTCGCGCTCTCCCCTCTTTAGAGGGCAGACACTTCATAATTCTTTGCGAATGGGAAGCAACTTGAATAATAAATGCCTTTAGGCCTAGGAATGATTCCGCCGAGGACTTCGAAATGGGCGCGTGCATTCTTCCCGGAACCGAAACGCAACAATTTTCCAATCTGCGTTCAGTCGTGGTGGCGACCAGGAGGGATTCCGATATCCAACAAGCTCGGATACTCAGGATCGAGAGTCGAGGTTCGAATCTCAACTTGAACCGGGCCAAGGGATCGGCTTCTTTCTCACCCTGAGGCGTGCTCCTCCTCCTTGTCACCATCACCGGCACTGTCCTCGTCCTGGTCCTTCCCGTCATCATCCTCTGCCTCGTTCTCATCGCCTGTGTTGGTGTACTTGGCAGCGTTCCTGCTGTTCGCTCGCTCGCTCCTCCTCCTCTTCTATAGGGTCAAAAGAGAGCATCATGACTCCCCAGGAGGTCCTGGGCGGCATCCGGACAGGGATCCGCGGAAGTCGTTTAAGCAAACAGTTACGCACTTCGTGGTCTTCGAGGTCCCAGAACTCCACTCCTGGGCCAAATTCTGAATGCCCGGAGCCAACTGTAGGCCACTTCGTGGTCTTCGAGTTCCCATAACTCCATATCTGGGCATGATGTTGAATGCCTGTAGCCAGCTGTAGGCCACTTCGTGGTCTTCGAGTTCCCAGAACTCCATTCCTGGCCATGATTTTGAATGCCTGGAGCCAGCTGTAAGCCACTTCTTGGTCTTCGAGTTCCCAGAACTCCATTCCTGGGCATGATTTTGAATGCCCGGAGCCAACTGTAGGCCACGTCGTGTTCTTCGAGTTCCCAGAACCTCATTCCCCGGACACATTTTGAATGCTGAGGCAGGCTGATGTTGAGGCTCAGGCAGGTTGAGGCTGAGGCAGGCTGAGGCTGAGGCTGAGGCTGAAGGCAGATTGAGGCTGAGGCTGAAGCAGGCTGAGGCTGAGGCTGAGGCAGGCTGAGGCTCAGGCTGAAGCAGGCTGAGGCTGAGGCAGGCTGAGGCTGAGGCTGATGCAGGCTGAGGCTGAGGCAGGCTGAGGCTGAGGCCGAGGCTGAAGGCAGACTGAGGCTGAGGCTGAAGCAGGCTGAGGCTGAGGCTGAGGCTGAGGCAGGCTGAGGCTGAGGCTAAGGCAGGCTGATGCTGAGGCAGGCTGATGCTGAGACTGAGGCTGATGCAGGCTGAGGCTGAGGCAGGCTGAGGCTGAGGCCCAGGCTGAAGGCAGACTGAGGCTGAGGCTGAAGCAGGCTGAGGATGAGGCTGAGGCTCAGGCTGAGGCTGAGGCTGAGGCTGAGGCCGAGGCCGAGGCTGAAGGCAGACTCAGGCTGAAGCTGATGCAGGCTGAGGCTGAAGCAGGCTGAGGCCGAGGCTGAGGCAGGCTGAGGCTGAGGCAGGCTGAGGCTGAGGCTGAGGCTGAGGCAGGCTCAGGCTGAGGCAGGCTGAGGCTGAGGCCGAGGCTGCAGGCAGGCTGAGGCTGAGGCTGAAGCAGGCTGAGGCTGAGGCTGAGGCAGGCTGAGGCTGAGGCTGAGGCTGAGGCAGGCTGATGCTGATGCAGGCTGAGGCTGAGGCTGAGGCTGATGCAGGCTGAGGCTGAGGCAGGCTGAGGCTGAGGCCGAGGCTGAAGGCAGACTGAGGCTGAGGCTGAAGCAGGCTGAGGCTGAGGCTGAGGCAGGCTGAGGCTGAGGCTGAGGCAGGCTGATGCTGAGGCAGGCTGAGGCTGAGGCTGAGGCTGATGCAGGCTGAGGCTGAGGCAGGCTGAGGCTGAGGCCGAGGCTGAAGGCAGACTGAGGCTGAGGCTGAAGCAGGCTGAGGCTGAGGCTGAGGCTGAGGCTGAGGCTGAGGCAGGCTGATGCTGAGGCAGGCTGAGGCTGAGGCTGAGGCTGATGCAGGCTGAGGCTGAGGCAGGCTGAGGCTGAGGCCGAGGCCGAGGCAGACTGAGGCTGAGGCTGAAGCAGGCTGAGGCTGAGGCAGAGGCAGGCTGAGGCTGAGGCTGAGGCAGGCTGATGCTGAGGCAGGCTGAGGCTGAGGCTGAGGCTGATGCAGGCTGAGGCTGAGGCAGGCTGAGGCTGAGGCCGAGGCTGAAGGCAGACTGAGGCTGAGGCTGAAGCAGGCTGAGGCTGAGGCTGAGGCAGGCTGAGGCTGAGGCAGGCTGAGGCTGAGGCTGAGGCAGGCTGAGGCTGAGGCTGTGACTGCGACTGCCGTTGCCACTGCGACTGTCATCGCGAATGCGACTACGTCTGCGAGAACAGCAGAATTCTACAACCGGATTCTCATCTGAATCTTAAGGGGAATGCTCCCAGATATGCTCCTACACATCGCTGTTAGGTTGCTTTGCCGGGATAATTTGGGAATCTGGTTTTGCGTCGATTCCCCCCTCCCCGTTCTGATAAGTTCTGATGTCGTACGAAGCTCTCAAAAAGCTCTCTGGGGAGCCCCTGTGGCTTGGAAACCTCTCGGCTCGCGCTCTCCCCTCTTTAGATGGCAGACACTTCATAATTCTTTGCGAATGGGAAGCAACTTGAACAATAAATGCCTTTAGGCCTAGGGATGATTCCTCCAAGGACTTCGAACTGGGCTCGTGCATTCTTCCCCGAACCGAAACGCAACAGTTTTCCAATCTGCGTTCAGTCGTGGCGACCAGGAGGGATTCCGATATCCAAAAAGCTCGGATACTCAGGATCGAGAGTCGAGGTTCGAATCTCAACGTGAACCGGGCCAATGGATCGGCTTCTTTCTCACCCTGAGGCGTGCTCCTCCTCCTTGTCACCATCACCGGCACTGTCCTCGTCCTGGTCCTTCCCGTCATCATCCTCTGCCTCGTTCTCATCGCCTGTGTTGGTGTACTTGGCAGCTTTCCTGCTGTTCGCTCGCTCGCTCCTCCCCCTCGTCGTTCGAACTTCGAGGTTCGAGGAGGCTTCACTACTCTGCCGGCCTCCAGAGGCCAGTTCTGAACCCTGGGACCGTCAGAAGCTGATCCGGATCGCACAACTGAAGGGTGTGCCAAAATGGCCCGAGGCCGCCATACGAACCCTGCCACTGGGGGCTCTCGGTGGGGCTCCCTATGGGGCTGCGATCCTCGTGAGGGGTGTGCTGAAACGGCTCGAGGCCGCCATGCGAACCCTGCCCGTGGGGGGCCTTCGGTGGAGCTACCTGTGGGGCCACGATCCTCGTTGGAGCTCCCTACGGGGCCACGATCCTCGTGAGGGGTGTGCCGAAATGGCCCGAGGCCGCCATGCGAACCCTGCCACTGGAGCCTTCGGTGGGGTTCCCTATGGGGCCACGATCCTCGTGAGGGGTGTGCCGAAATGGCCCGAGGGACGGTTGTGGTTAATGGTGAAATGACAATTTGAATGGTGATATAGAAGTTTTAAGGGTGAAATAAACACGACGTAAATACACTACATACACTACGTAAATACACTACACAAATACACTGCGTAGACGCATTAGGCAATGGAACAGGGAGGGAGGGGGGGGGGGGCGGCGACGGACAAAACAGCAGGCATGCACAAAAACGAGGGTGCGAAGGTTGCGGTGGGGGCAGTATGGGGGCGGCGACAAGCGGAAGGACCGAGCACGACAACAATGTGCTCCAAGCTGTGGACCCCAGGTGCGCGAATGAGTAAGGCGCTCCAGCGCTAACGAGTGGAGAGAGCGGGAGAGAGGGAGAGACAATTGAAGACATTTCGTTCTGCCTTTAGGGGCGGGTGGGCTTCTCTGGCCCATTTTGAGTAGGAGGCCGTTGCGATTTGGGCTCAAGCGGACGGTCGACTTCGAAGGAGTGTTCGACCTGTGTCGCTAGGCGCGCTTTCTCATGTGCAATGCGCCCAGTGCGAATAGGATCGTCCAGTACGAATGGAGAGGAATCGAGCTGTAGCCTTGATGAGGCAATGGAGGTAATGGACGACCCCGACAGGGCGAAGTCTTGCCTGCGGGGTGGCTCACCAGTGGCGTGCCTGACGGCGCGCCACTGGATTGTCGCTCTCGTCTTCTGCAGCAGGGTGGGCCAGACCGTCCTGCGAATGGCCATGGGTGCGCTCATCATCCCCTTCTGTGAGGAGATACGCTGCGAGGCCTGGGAAAAGGGCTGGCTCCTGTCGGCCCACGCAGCCGGCTACTGCTCGACGCAGATCCTCGGCGGCTGGATGGCCGACCGGCTCGGCGGGAAGCGGGTGATGTCGTGGGCGCTGGGCCTCTCGAGCCTCGCGGTGCTGGCGACTCCCGCCGCCGCGTCGGCTTTTGGGCCCAGGGGCGTCATCGCCTGCGAGGTTTCGGAGAAGAGAGGGCTACATGAATCAGCACCCGCCAAACCACCCCAGCCCGACCCGAAGGCTTCGACTTGCCCTCCACTTCCAGTGGGGGGGGTCGGGGAGCGTGGACAAAAACACAGATGGAGCCCTTCCCCCCCCCCCAAACCTTGAAATTCGGGTCTTTGGGTTGGGTTGGGGTGGTCTGGTAAGAAGTCAATAAACATCAACTTTCGGTGCTCCGCGCGGATTTCTCGAATCTGCGCTGGGCCCCCCTGGCGGCGCCTCCGGCGCCGTCGCTGGCGTGCTCCGCGGGCCCTTGGAGGGGGGTCCGGCGCCAATCCAAGAAGTCCGCGCGGACCTCCGAAAGTTTGCGTGTATGCAGTCTGCTCTTCTTGCAGAGGTTGTCATGGGAGCGGCCATGGGCCCCACCTTCCCCTCGAGCATGCAGCTGCTCGCGCGGTGGCTCCCGGTCGAGGACCGGGCGATGGCCAGCACGGCGCTGGATTCCGGCATCACCCTGGGGTCCCTCATCGTGGTGCCACTGTCGGGAGTGCTCGTCCTGTATAACGGTTGGAGGGTTGCGTACACGGTGTATGGCCTGGGGATGCTTGCGTTCGCCCTCGTCTTTGCGTGGCTGGCTGCTGACAGCCCTACCGACTGCGGGTATTGTAGTGCCGAGGAGCGATTGTTCTTGGAGGTAGTTGTGCCACAGGTTAACAAGCAGGGGAAGTCGAAAGTTCCAACGGAGAAGTCGAGCATCGCTTACTGCTTGTCCTACGCGCGGTTGTGGGCCATCTATGGGTCGCACTTCATCTTCAACTACGCTGTTTATTTTGTCAATTGCTGGTCTGCAACGTTCTACTTCGAGACATTCGGCCTCCGCCCCGAGCAGGCTGGGTTGTACCTGTCCATGCCGCACCTGATAAACTCGGTCGTGAAGGTGATGGTGAACCCGGCCCTGGAGCGCCAGATGATGGCCCGGGGGTTCGACACCCTAAGGCGCCGCAGGATATTCAGCGTTCTCGGTTTTGTCGGGCTGTCGGCATTCCTCGGGCTGGCGCCGTACCTCGCCACCCTGACCCGGACGACGATGTCCTTCTCCGTGGCGTTTGGGTTCTTGGCGCTGCACCCGAGCGGCTTCAAGGCGAACTACATGGACGTCACCACCAGCCGCGGCGGTCTGGTCAGCGGCATAGGGAACACAATCGGCAGCCTGGGTTCTACCGCAGGGCCGCTGGTCGTGGCGCATTTGCGCGACGTGACTGGCGGTTGGACTGCGGCCTTTCAATCAGTGTCGCTTCTGAGCGTTGCGGCGGCGGTGCTGTTTTCGACCATGTCGTCGACGGTGCCCATCGAGGCGGACGAGGTTCCCGCCAAGGACGTGGGGGACGTCCAGAGCGTGTAACACATTCGCTCGTTGGGGCTGAAAAGTGGCGCAGTCTTGCACGGTTCATTTTTGATGGTTTCACCAACCATTCCATGTTTTAAGCATGGCGTCGCCGTTGCTATGTCGCCCCAGTTGCATGTGCAGGATGTCATTTCTCAATGAGATGTTCCCTAAGCGATTCCTATGTTATGCCCCAATGAGTCCTTGTCCAAGTGATTTTTATGCGTCTTTGATGAATGACCAGTGTGAATAACCCGTGGTGGCGAAGCTTGCGCTGGTTGGCGTTGTTCGAGGCTCTTTGGTCTTTTGTTTTTAACGTGTCGTTGTTGGGGAGTCTTTGTCTTGTTTCCTTGCAGTGGCGTGCTTTGGTGTTATTCCCAAATCAGTGCTTGCACAGAAGGGGTCCTGTCGGAGATTGGAAGATTTGTCGAAAGTACCGGGCCGATTTCGGTAGGCGGCCGGGTTCCCGGGTTCCCGGTTTCGGACTCCCGGGTTCCCGCGCCCGGGTTCCGGGCCGATTTCGGGCGGGGTTCCCGGGTTCCCGGGTGTTTGGTCGACACGCCGAGCAACGTCAAGCCGTGCCAAGCAGCGCCAAGCAATGCCGAACAACGCCAAGCAAAGCAATGCCAAGCAACGCCAAGCAACCCGCAGCAACGCCAAGCAAAGCAACGCCCATGCAGGTGATCGTTTTCTTGTTCGTTGCTCTACGCCGGACGCCAAGCAAAGCCAAACAAAGCAGCGCCCATGCGAGTCATCAGTTTCTTTAACCGTTGTTCTACGCAAGCAAGCAACGCCCATGCACGCCAAGCCACGCTGGGCCTCGTTTCGTTCTTCGTTGCAGGCGCCGATCCTTGTGCTCGTTGTGATCGGCGCGAGCCCTCGCACCCTCCCTCTCCCCCCCCCTTATGGAGTAGATCTTGGCTGTTTCTGGCGCCTGTTTCGAGCAGGTGGAGTCCCACCCCCGTCGCGTTGAGCAGAGGTCTGGAGCCAGAACCCCCCCCCTCCCCACCCCTTCCGCCCAATGTCACAATGCAGAACAAAAAGACGCTCACACGCCAAGCAATGCCGGGCAACGCCAAGCGAAGCAGCGCCCATGCGGCGGGACCTGCTCTTCGAATTCGGGGCCGCGCCGCGTGTGTGTGCGTGCAAGAACCATTGGGCGCGACGCCCCAATTCCTCGAGTAATTAGCCTGGCATCGCTCGGACGTGTGCATTTGTCCTTCGACGAGGACCACCGAGGAGCATCCTTGATCAGTTGGCGAAACAACCGCGCACGAAACCTCAAAAAAACACAGGGAATGGACGTCCGAGCGATGGCCATTTAGGGGATCGACTGCAGAATCGATGTGCCTGAACATCGATGTCCCGCCGAATCTACGAAACATTCCTACATTGCCCCGTCGATCGACCGACTGCGTATTTTCTCACGGCATCGGCGAGGACATGCAATCTGGGGGAACTCAATTCTGTAGTCGGTCCTCCGCTCGAATTCCGAGTCGTGTCTTGCTGCAGTGTTCGTGTTCTCGTTATCGTTTCGTTGTTGCGTTGCTCGGTGTTCCCCGGGGGTCCTTCGTCAGGGGCCGCCCCCGGCGTTGCTCGGGATATCTCGGCGCACTGCCAAGCAATGCCAGGTAATGCTAAACAATGCCAAGCAACGCCAAGCAACCCAAAATACCGACAAGTGATGCAACGGCAATTCAAAGTAATGCCGAGCAAAGCCAAGTAACACCTGGCAACGCCGAGCACCGATTCCAAAGATTGCCGAGCAATGCCAAGCAAAGCAGCGTCAAGCATGGCACCCCGTGGCATTGTGCAGAACTTGTTTGATGGTGTTCGGAAACATGGGTCCCCTACGCAAATAGGGTCTCGCTGGGTTCATATCTGGCGACTGCGGCATAGCCTGATATCATTGCCCTCTTCCGTTTTCCCTCCATCCTCATCCAATGGGAAGGATCATGTCTGAGGATGTACGGGGTGAATGGCCCCGTCAGGTCGTGCAGGAACTGTGATTACGTCAAAAACTGTTTATCATGTTGCTTCAGATCTGCCACCTAGGACCTGGTGTTGACGGCACAATTCCACGATCGTAGGTTAATCTCAACAATGCCTCATTGGCATTTCGTGCGCAGTTTTGTTGCTCTGCCTTTGCCGCCAATGAGTGGCCGTTTGTATGTGGCTGTGGTATGTGTGCCAGCTCGACGAATGGACTCTTCTGCACAGTCTCGGTCGAATCCGTATCGGGTCCACGGGGGAGTGCAGTGTTGAGACATCGTAGCGTGGCGTGGCCATAGCCTTGCAACGCTATCGAGCGCAGGGATTCCCGTGGGTGCCTTCTGGGGGAAGGTCGTGGAGGCGCCCATGGAGCCTTCCAAAGGGCCCCGTCGGGCTGCCGGTGCTGCCCCGAACAGCCTCGGCAGCGTGACGCGTGGGCCGGCTGGTCGAGTCGAGGAGGCGTGGCCGTCTGGAAATGGTCCTGAGGCCGTCTGGGGCCGCTCTGGAGTGTGCTCGGGTCAGTTCGGATGCAACTCCTGGGAGGTCAAATTCTGATTCAGCCCTGGTCCGAAATCCCGCTTAATCCGGCTCAATCCCGCTGAATCCCGCTTAATCCGGCCTAATCCCGCTGAGCCCCGCTTAATCCGGCTTAATCCCGCTTTGTCCGAGGTCCACTGGCTTAACAGCCCCCCAATGGGGCTTAATCCTCCTTCAACCTTCAGAAGAGCTCCTCCCAGCAGTTGCCTCCTCAGGTCAGTCTAGTTATTCTCTGGGGGATGTGGCAAGCTGTCGTCAGGGCTCGGTGTTTGGGTGCCACGTCCGCTTCTCCGCGCTCCTCCCCTCGTCGCTTCTCTCCCGTTATTCGCCTCTTCCTCCGCTTCAGCCTCGTCCCTCTCGTTCTCACCAAGCGCCTCCGCACTTGGGGGTTCCTGCCCAGCACTGTCTGGACGGTGGGTGAGCGGCGGGGAGAATGCCTCGACGTGCTGAAACGGTTCAAGCCAGGGGGGCGATGGCAGGGCTCGTTCCGATTCCTCCGATTCGATTCGGTTCGCTTTCGACGGCTTCCGATTGTCAATGGAGGCCTACAGTTTCGTTTCGATTCGACCGATTCGATTCGGTTCGGTTTCGGATTCCGATTCGGGCTCCGAGTTGTCAATGGAGGCCTATAGTAGCCTGCCGATTTCCGCCGATTCGACGTTTCCCGACTCGGCTGCCGATTTTCCCCGATCCATTTTTTTCGATTGCTGATCCGACTTCTCGATTCGAACCTGGGCTATCCTGCAATGGGCGATCCTCAAGGCCCTTGCAGTGAGCCTTGCAGGCGGATGGGCAACATCCGAATGCATCCTCATTTGTAGGCTATCTCTCTGCCTCTCGGGATGTGCACAGCAGCCTGATTCAATCTCTGACTATCTTTCCTGCCCCGTCTTCCGTGAGCTCCTCGGCTCCGTCAGCAATGAATACGAGTGCTCAGCCTGTGCGCACAACCGGGCTGGACCAATGCGACTGGCAGTGCTCGCTCTTCATATTTCTCCTCAAGTGATAGCCATTATAAACAATTGTCAGGTGCCGCCTTCTTGCGCGCATCTGTTCGCTAGGAAAGTGGGCGACAGGCTGCTGAGTTATGGTCGATCCTCCTCCGTATCGTCCCTTTGAATTTTTACTCATCCTCATCACCCTGCCTCCGCCGCCGCCTTCCCTCTGGCCCTCCTCCGTCATCCGTCCCGCCAGCTGCCCCCTCTCTCCTCCCTCCTCTACCCTTCCTCCTTCCTCGTGCAACTCCGCCTCCTGCTCCTTCCTGCAGCTCCCCCCCTCCTTCCTCCCCCCTTCCCCTCATTGCGCACTCAACAGTTGTTCCCCCGCCCCGCCCAGGGCCAATCCTGTCCGGCATCTCATCTTCTGATCGACTTCTGACGGTCCCGGGGCCATGGGTCGTAAACAGGCGCCCCCAGGACAAGCATGGCGAAACACATGTTCGAAGACGACGTCGACGACGACGATTACGATTGCGACAGTCGACCCCCAGGCCTTCCGTTGCCACGAGAGTGAAACATTGCCACGGTGGCCCCAGGAGAGCCCGTGGACGCGTCCAACGTCCAAGAACTATGTTCAGAGTTGTCTATCTCCAATCCACGACAACGACGATCACGGGTGCAACGAAGGTGACGACGACGACGGTGGCGTTCCCAGCAGAATGTCGAGGGCAATCCGGCCGTGGCCACGAGAAGCTTTGCGGAGCCCTCAAGCAAAGTTCATACCGGCTTTCCATGGCGGAGACGACGACAGCGACGAGGACACCGACGGCGGCGACGGCGATCAAAATCTGCTCAAAATTGATCTTTGGACCTCTCTGGCGTCCACCCTGGCAGGTCGGGAACGTTCTCGCATGCCCTGGTCCTTCAAGCGGAGCGCCGCTGGCTCCTGGCAGTTTCTGCGGCTCGGCGGCGGAGAGCGCGAGGGCTGGGGACGTGGAGGAGGTGTAAAACCCACGGGGGGATGCCAGTCCATCTTACGGTTAAGTCGGGCTTGTCCCTCCACGGGAGGAGTATTCAGAAATTGCCAAACAATAGCCTGCGGACGATTTTCGTTATCATTGTTGAACGTTTCGAGGCAATTTCGGACTAATTTTTTTTGTTGTCCACAATCCGCCTGTAGGGGGACATGCCAGTCCTACCCTTAAGGGTGATCAGTCCACTGCCCAGGGGCCGCTCGGAGCGATTTTGCTCCAGCCCCACGGGCGGCCCTGCCCCACCTTTGCTTCCCCAGCGAGGGAGGGACGAGAGGCTAGCGGACAACGACGGGCACGCACGGGCGGGAGGCCATGGCTGGTCTTCCATCCAGGATTTTTGACGGCCCTAGGGCTCGAAACGGGTTAACACGTTGAGATTTGGCTCGTGATCGTTTTTGTTGGTTCATTCTGTTGCCGATCTGCGCGGGCCCGTCGCACCCCTTCCCCTCCCCTCCTCGCCCCATGGATTAGACATTGGCCGTTTTTGGCGCCTGGTTCAAGCAGGTGCAGCATCCCCCATAGTGGACACACTGTTGCAAACAGTCGCGCTAAGCAGAGGTCCGGAGCCAGACACCCCCGCCTCCCACCCCCTTCCTCTCAGTGTCGAAACGCCGAACAAGCAAACGCTCACCTGGCTTGTGCGAGGTAACGCACCCTTGGCAGCTTCACGCAACGTCGGTGGTCAGCCTTTTCTGCAGCTTTGCATGATCCCTGTGAGGGATGTGCCCGCGTAGTCTTAGTCGGGCCTGTCCTTCTACAGGAGGAATATTCAAAACATGTTTTCAATAGTATCGGGATCATCTCTCGGATACCTTTTGAACCCAATTTTGCATACTTCTGACTGGTTTCAATCCTCCCGCGCAAATCGGCCTGCAGGGGGACAGACCGGGCCTACGCGTAGGCGGGGACCGTCACGCGAATCTTTCGTGCCAGGGCCTGTCGGTGGAGCTTTTCCTGGGGCCGTTGGGCCTGCGAGGGGTGCAAAGCTCCCGGAGAGGGGGGGAGCGCTGGGCGGCCCCTGCCACGGGGGCCGTCGGTGGACCTCCCCATAGGGCCACGACGTCGTCGTCGTCCCTCCCTCGCTCCCTCCCTCCCTCCACTCCTCCCTCCCCCCCTCCCTCCCCTCCCCTCTCCCCCCTCCCCCACTCCCTCCCTCGCTCCCCCCTCCCCCCCCCCCCTCCTTCTCTTGCGGGGCACCGAGGCCACAGTCCATTCCTCGGGGGCCGTCTTTCTCGGTGGCGAAGAGGCCTCATGTCGCCCAGGCCCTGGAGCACGTGCTCGCGGCCGCAAGCCAGTGGCGCGCCAAGTGCAACCGCAGTGCGAAACTATATGTCGGAAAGAGGGACGGCCAGGACAAGGGCAGCACCGCTGGAGGTGGCGGGGGGCTCGTTCCAGCTTCGCAGGCAGACCTGGTTGCTGTTCTCGGGAAGACTTTGGAGGTTACCGACGATCCTCTGCTCAAGCGATCTCTCACGGCCCGGATCAAAGTGCACAAGGACGTGGCCAAAAGCGTTCCAGCTTCAGCCCCAAAGGATGCTTCGACTAAGGCCAACGGGGCCCCTTTGATATGCAACGCTGAAACATGATCAGGCTATATCGGCACCCGCGCGCTGTCAGCAGAACCTTGTCAAGGCGGAGGAGTGCAAGGCGCAGGCGATCTACAACTTTGCGGCCGCCGAGGACGCCAAGCGCTTGGCCACGGAGGCGTTCGGCAAGACGTCGGGTGTCATTCCAGTCGGGCTACCCACCGCCTCTGAGAAGAATGGTGTTCGTATTCCCCATTTTGTGGGACGAGACTGATGAGTTGGAGGCCGAAGAATCGGAAAAGGCTGATATTCGGAAGCCCAAGAGCGATTTGGTTGCATCACGTCACCTGTTTCGGTCCAAGAATGCACAAGTTGTGCAGTGGCTAGAGGGGGCCAGATAGCTCCAGACCCAGATCACAAGCCGCATGGCCAAGAAACGCCGTGGACCAGGTGGTGATGCCACAGCACCAGCCGCGCATGCCGCGGAGCCTGCGGCCGTTGCCGCAAACGCTGAGCCAACCGCAGGTACAGCGACTAGCGAGGCGGCGGCCGTCGGCAGCGGTGGCAGCAGCGAGAATCGCATCAAGACCGCGGCAGCTCGGCTCAGCGCAGCCAAGCAGGGGGCGGCGCAGGCGGCCGGCAGGCGGCGGCCGTGGCGGCCGAGAGTCCAGACCGAGAGTCGAGACCAGCTCTACCCCATCAGCCAGTTCAGGTCTCAGTTCAGGGTCGAGCAGTCCAGGTGCTCCTCGGTCAAGAGGCCCTCCCGACAGTGGTGCGGTGCAGCCTTCCGCTGCTAGGGATATACATGGCCCAAGATGGAATCAGACTCATTCCTGCTCTTCGGTAACGTCACGGCCATGGGTAAGCTGGCATGGGGTTTCATCATTGGTCCAGCGCGCGCGCCGTCCCACTACATCTTTCTAGCCGAGACTCACATCGAGTCAGCCAGCGACCTTGTGCACTGGAAGGGCCGGGCATCCAAGGCGCGTTTGAAAGTGATAGATAATCCAGCTAGACCCACGGGGAACGAGCAGTCCGAGGCTACGAAGGACAGGGCCAACGAAGGCGGCGAGTGGAATTTGCGCCGACAGCATCTCCAGCTTCAGCGGCTGATCGAGTCCGACGTGGTCACCAGGGACTTCTATACCCCAGGGGCATCGTCCAACGATGGTTTTGCGGTGGGCATCATCCGCGTGCACGGCTACTCGGTAGTCGCGATCAGTTGCTACTGTTTCTGTTCTGAGGGCCTCAGTGGCAGGGGCTTCTTTCTCTTCGCCAATGTAGGCGTGCCCGTCTCACAGCTCAGGTTGCCATGGTTCGTCACTGGCGATTTCAATCTAGGCCCGAGCGCGCTGGTGGACAAAGGTTTAGTTGAGAAGGTCGGGGCCGCCATCTGCACCCCCGATATCGTGCGCAATTGGGCCTCGGGCATGGGCGGCGAGCTGGGCTGCGTCATGGCCAACCCCTCGTGCGTGCCATGCGTCGTTCAAGTATCAGCAGTGCTTGCAGTTCCGTGGAAACCGCACTGTGGATTTCTCGTGCGTGTACGGAGTTCAGGTTGGCAGCGTCTCCGTCGCGAACTCGCCATGGCCGCGCGACTTCCTCAGGCGCCGCGACCTCAGCCTTTGTTTGCGCCCGGCCCCAAATCCAGCAAGGCCGAGGCGCTGCGCGCCATGGCCGAGCATCTGGCGAGGGTCAAGCAGCAGGGGGCCATCGAGGAGATGCACGGGGATCTCGACACGTCGGCTTGTCTGTCAGCGCCGAGGTTTCGCCGACCGCCTGCACAAACATGTCGTCGGGATCATCGGCGGGCCCAGCTTCTACACCGGACCCCCCCGCAGCTAGTGGGCAGCCTCCTCCCCCCATCCATCCTGGCGCCGCCTGACTTTTGGGCTTTGGGCTCTGTGCCGGACGCAGGACGGGCATTCGGCGTCGCCCCGGCACTTCGAGGCGTGGCCGCCTATGCAGTGGGATGTCCATATATTCGTCGTCTCGGGGCCGCGCATTCGTCCTGGGTTCAGACTTTGGAGCAGTCCGTTGTTCAGCATAATGGCGCTTCTTGTCCTGGGGCTCTGTCTCGTCGCAAAGGGCCGTCTTTCGCCGCCTCGGAGGTCAAGGCGTTTGCGAGGGCACGGGGGTGCAGCCTCTTCGCGATCAAAGTGCGTCTTGGCGGGGTCGACTCGCCACTATCGTAGGTCGGCCGCGCCTTCGCCGTTCCCGCGCGAACGGGCCCGCTCAGCAGCGGCAGTTGTGTCTAGCCCGTGCCGCTCTCGCCTGCGATCAGCCCGAAGCTGCGCGCGCCCCGCCGGCCAGTTTAGAGAACGAGGCCGACGCATCTTGGAGCCCCTCCTCGGAGTTAGCAGTATTTCTTTGGAGGACCTCAAACAGATGGCCGTCGCGACCGCGCGTTCTTCCTGCAGAGCTAGGAGGCGTGTTCTCGGGAGTTCCGTGAGAGAGCTTAGAGGGTGGATCTCTGCGGCCGAAGCCCCTGGGCCCCCCCGCAACGCGTTCGACAATGCACCTCCAGTCCCCGTTGCGTTAGTGGTCAAGGGTCAGGTTCTATCCCGTCAGGCCAAGACATGACATGCCTCGGGTCGGCCGAAGCCTTTCAACCTCGACCGCGCGCGCGATGTGTTTGGTGACATTTGCGAAGCTGCGCAGGCAGATCAGCTCGAGCCACTCGAGCCCGAGCGAGTTCGGCGAGCGTTGCACGCCTTTCCACCAACAGCAGGACTCGGGGTCGACCAACCCACTCCCTTCGTCATGGGGCGACTGCCACCAGCAGGGCTCGCCGAACTAACGACTCTCCTTGATGCTTGTGAGGAGTGAGCGCGTTGGCCGCGGCAAACTCTCTTCGTGGCGGGGGGGGGGCCCTGCGAAGCACGCGGGATGGGGTGGGGGCAGGGTGATAGGTCTTATGGCAATGTTTTCTAGGACTTCTCCCTTGCCCGCGAGGACAATGTGCGTTCTTGGTTTCAGGACAGCGGGCCCGTCTGGGACGCGGCCGTTGCGGGGCAACCTGCGCTCCGCGAGGCTTTTTGCACGCGCCGCCACCGCCTCGCCGCGTCGTTCGGGGGGGGGGGGGGGGGGGGGGGGGGGGGGGATCGTCGACAACGAGGGGTTCTGTGATGAGATGCAGTGGGGGGCCCTGGCTAGCTCGGCGCATCGTCTCGGGCCCCCTTCTGTATCGTTACTTTTCCTGGGGCCCCAGATGTGTCCAGCACCCCGCGCGGTCGCCCAGTTGGGATCTTATCCCGATGCATTTTAGGCCACCCAACATATGTTCAGGGACAACGTAGCGGGGCGCGGTTTGGGAGCTGTTTGGTTTACTTTTTACGTTTGAGAAGTTATGCGCTGCTGTTCCTGGCATGTCTTTAAGGCCATGGGTCGACGACCTCGCCCAACGCCCAACCCTTTCCAGGAGGGCCGCGCGTGACAATTCACACCGTTGCGCGTTGGCAGCTTGCCGAGCTGCAAGGGCCATCCTGTGCTCCAGCGCTGCCGGCGGCAAGGCCATTGTCGCTCGCCTTCGCCGTCGAGGCTTCAAGCTTCCGCGCGGACGCCGAGCGCGTCTGCTAGGAGTGGATCTCGGAGCAGGGCGCGATGACAAGGCGACTGGTACCAGACGTATCCAGAAAGCCAAAGCCATGACAACCCGCGTTTGCAAGCTTCCCCGCGCCTCTTGTAAGTTCGCTCGCACCGGCACGCTCGAGCGTGCTGGGGCGCGGGCAGCAGGCGCATGCGGGCATCAGGTCAACGGGGCGTTCGGTGAATTTCGTCTTCAATGCAGGCGGCGTCTTGGGCGCGCGTCATCCTCGGGCGCTCAGGCGAGATGTCGCACCGCGGTTCTGGACCTCAGGGCGGATGGTCACGATCCAGGGCGTAAGCTCTCGCGGGGGCGCCGTCGGCTTATAAGCTTCGCGCTTTGGTGTAAGAGCCAGCAGTCCGTCCAGTTGCCCGCGCGGCGCGGCCGCGTAGCGTCTCGCAGTGCTGCCAGCTAACTCCGCGGCAGGTAGCCCAAGCTGTGCGCGGGCCAGTTTCAGCAGTTGCCGCCCACCTTGTCGAGTTTGGTTGGGGCCCAGTCTCCCCGAGCGAATGGCATGCCCCACCCCCCCACCCCCCACCCTGACGATGGAGGGCCAAGTGCAATTTGGGCGCTGCTCGATGAGGTCCCATCGTTCTGAAGATATCAGCGGGCTTGTCCAGGTGGTCGAGGACCCGACTCGGGCTCGGCAGCGGGTCTCAGCAAGTCGGCGCTTCTGCGGCGAGGGGTTGCAGCAAGGTGCAGGCAATCAGTCGTACAGGGGCGTTTTTTTATGTCCTTGGCCGACGTTACGAAGCTCGTCCCTTCGCAGGTAGGGGCTTCATTCGCTACTGCAGTAGGAGGCACCTCTCCAAGGTCCAGAGCCAAGCAGTAAAGTACACTGAGGCCGAGGCCAACGAGTTTGTCAGGGATGCGGCGAGGGCCATGGGGCGCCTCTACATCGGGCGTGGACATGCCCATGCAACACAGGCAGCGCAGTACATCGGGAGTCGGAGCAGTTGGCCCCCCAGGGCAGCCTCGGGTCAGGACTCGGAGTCCTGCGTCTGGCTCCGTGGGATTACCCCAGCCCCATGGGCCAGAGTTCCCGACCCCCCCCCCCCTTCAGGTACATGTTGGAAGTCATACCATTGCAGCGGCGACTTCCCCACGGCAGGAGACTTCGGTCACGGGCCCCCTGAAGACCCGCGGGCGGTTCTGCGGTTTTCGGAGGTGCGATCGGAGGCGAAGATAGTCGATATCCACGGCTTCGGCGCGTCGGCGCCTCCGCTGGTGTTCTTTCGAGTTTCAGCCGCCCTGCTGTTCGAGCCGCTGTTTTCGGACAGGTGCCAGGCCCTGTTCAGACGATTCCCTGCGGGGTGATCTGGGGCCCCCCCGTGGCCATCAAGTTCTACGGGGCCCTCGTGTCTGTGACCGACACAGCGGGGCTATCGACAGATGATTCAACGCGCTCTATTCGGCCCCGGCGGGGCTCAATCGTGCCTCTTGGAAGCTCATCGGAGTTGCTCTCGAAGGCCATGATGTTTCGCAGGCTACCGTCATGCGGGCGCCCCCCCACCCCGAGGCGTCTTCAGTTGCGGCGCCTTCCTTCCCCGAGTGGATGTCCGGGGGAAATCATGCTGCTGATAAATTTGCTCGCGCTGCGTTGGAAGCTCGCGCCAGTCTTTCGGTCTGTGCCAGAATCGCGCAGGTGGAAAGGGGTGCAACTTTGGTCAGCAGGCGTCTCCACCGTTCTACGCTGGAGGCCATCGGCGCTGCTCCGCCCAGGCCTCCCCCCTCGAGTTCAAGGCAGGCGCGGCCCCCTCCCCCTCCCGCTCCCCGTGCGGCTTCGGTTTTTGAGATTGCGTATGTGCTCGACGAGTTCTCGAGGCGATGCGTGCGATGTTTTGGCTGTTCGTCTGCCGACGCTGCCGTGCTGTGGCGTCGGAGCCAGTGCCCCCCCCCGTCTCTGTGGACTCTGTCTTTTTTCGGCTGCCGAGGGGTCAACAGTGGCACGCAGGGGGGGCGGTTGGGTCCACGAATCCCACGGCATGGTTGGTCATATTTCTTGAAGTGTTGGATCTGCAAGAGGTATTGCTCATTCGCCAGTCAACCATTGAGGCCTGCGTTGGCCAAGCAGCGTGGCAAGTCGTTGACCTACACCCGCAGGGTCTACATTCTGAGAGTGTATGGCTTGCTGTCGTCTGTCACTTCTTCGCACCGCGATGGGGCCGATTCCGATGCCGACTCCCTCACCGTTTTCCCTCCCCTTCTTTGTCCTTTCCCTCCCTTCCCCTTCCCTCCGTGAGGGGCGTGCCGGCATGGGCGGGAGGGTTGCATGCGGACCCTGCCATGGGGGCCTTCGGCGGAGCTCCCGACGGGGCCATGAAACGTGCGAGGGTTGTGCGGAGATGGGCGGGGGACGCCGTGCGGATTTTGCGACCGGGGCCTTCGGTGGAGCTCCGTGTGGGGCAACAGAACGTGGGTGGAGTGTGCCGACAATGGCGCTTTGGGGGGGGGGGGGGGGGGGGGGCGCAATGCGGAATTTGCCACTGAGGCCTTCGGAGGAGTTGCATCTATGAGGCCGCGAAGAGTGTGAGAGGTGTGCCCACGTTGGCTGGCCGACGCCATGCGGACCCGTATATAATCATGGTAGGGATGTAGTGAGGCAGGGGCGTGCGACAAACAGAGGCGGGGAGAGGAACAAGGGAGGAAAAGGCAGGGGGAGATGCGCGACGTGGGACGCTGCGGATTCAACACGAGGGCCCATCACCACATGGTGGTTGGGCAAAACGCTTTGACAACGACGGTTCTGGGCTACACCCCCCCAAACGCACCTTTGGACGCGGACGGGCCACGATGTCGAGGCAGATTCGCGTTGCCAAGATGGCGCTGTTGAGTGTCCCAACGGGGCTCGAAAACATTGGGCCACCCGCGGCGACAGCGACGGCGATCAAGATCCGCTCAGACTGAACGGGCGTCACAGATGCTGAACATTGAGGAAGTCCCGTCGGACATCGATGACGACCGCGAGGACGACGACGCCGACGACGACGACGGCGTGGACGACGACGGCGGCGAGGACGACAAGGAGGGCGAGGAGGACGACGGCAAGGACGACGACGGCGAGTGCGAGGACGACGACGGCGAGGACGACGGCGCGGACGGCGACGACGACCGAAAGCGCTCCGCCGGGAGGACCTGCAGAAGGCCAGCAGCGGCATGCAGGAGGCGGAGAGGCGGGCGCAGGCAGACCCGCCGCCCCCTCTGGCGCCCCGCCGCTGTTGCGGGCGTTATTGAGCGTTCGAGGATCGAGGATCTAGCACCTGAAGTCCGAGGATCTGACGTTTGAGGGTCTTGGTTTTGGAAGAGTGCATCGAGTACCTTAGAGCTCGCAGCTGCTACGGCATCAACTTCTTTTGTTTGGTAAGATTGGGAGAACTTGCGACGAGGACGTATGGAGAAAAATTGCATTCGTGCCCGGCTCGGTCCAATCATCTACTACCACATTGCGCAGGAGACCTGGGAGACCCAGGAACGAATGGGCGAAGTGCTTGCGTGATCGAATTGTGACCAGCCTCAGCACGGACGGGGAATTATTGGAGTGCTTGCGCGACGCTACAAAGTGGAGATATGTTTGTTGATGTTTACAAGCCAGTGAAAGTTTGCGTCAGCCGCCCGATTGGAGTGAGCCCACCTGCCCGCTCTTCCCGCCTCTCCTCTTTTCCACCCGCACATGATGCAGTTGAACAATCGGTGGGCGTGCCGCTGCTTCCGCAAAGCGGAGAGTTCAGGCCGGCATCGTCTCTTATCGCCCAAGCGTTCCGGCATATGGTTTGATTGATTGATTGACTGGTTGGGGGATCGAGGCTCGGGAGGCCACAGGAGGACGAGGACGAGGACGGGGGTGGAGGGTCGAGGTTCGAGGATCGAAGGTCGAAGATCGAGGAACGGAGATCCAAGATTGGGCTGTCCCGACGGGCCTTGGTTGTTTGGCCCTCCTTTTGCATCAGCAGCGCCCCGCTTCTCCTGCCACACAACCTTCCTCTTCTTTGCCCCCGCCATCCGCATGGGTCAATTGCAGCACACACACACACACACACACACACACACACACACACGCACACACCTGAAACGTGTCGTGGCTTCGTGGGGATCTCCACCACAGGCCTCAGTAGCAACGCCCGCACGCATGTCCGCACCCCTTTCGGCGCCCCCCGCACGTTTCGCGGCCCCGCTCCCCGCTCCACCGAATGGCCCAGTGGCAAAGGCAGTGTCCGCGCCCGTGTCGGTGCACCCCCTCACGCGCTTCGTGGCCCCACGTGGAATTACAACGACGGCCCCGGTGGCGTCGCCTGGCGCCGCCGCGCCCATGTCCATACGCCGTCGCACGTTTCGCGGCCCGAGGGGTCTCCCCACCGGCACAGGCCGCGTGCATTTCCGCGCCCCTCGACCTTTGGCTCGCCCGCGTTGGTTTTTGCTCGTGTGCGATTGCGCATGGCTGCGCTAGAGCGCCTCCGAGCACACTCAGTTCGCGGCCCCAGGGGTCTCCCCACCGGCACAGGCCGCGTGCATTTCCGCGCCCCTCGACCTCTGGCTCGCCCGCGTTGGTTTTTGCTCGTGTGCGATTGCGCATGGCTGCGCTAGAGCGCCTCCGAGCACACTCAGCGGCGGCGCCGACTTTTGGCTCTCCCACAGGCCGCATGCAGTTCCGCGCCTCTTTCGTCGGGGACGGACAGACCCCCCGACCTGACACGTCGATCAGTGAATTGCCCGTCTGCGGTGCTCGAGAGGGCGCCGCGGCCGTCGCTTTGCAGGCTTGCGCCCGCCAGGTTTGGGCCCGAGGCCGCTCTCACCAAACCGCATGTTTTACCAGTTTGAAACATGTCCCTATCCCTATGTTTGACATCACCTCACCTCGATGCCGATCTTAGGATTCCCTCAGTTTCTGAGGGCCTATCCCTAAGATTGTCCTCGCTTTTTGCTCGCCCATCTTAGGGATAGGGATATGTTCCAGGCTGGTTGATTTTGCTGAATGGGGGTTCTGCCCATCCCCGCTCTCGGCAAGGCTCCCGCGCGCCCCGTGGCCCCACACGGCATCGGGCTCCACCGATCTGCTCCCGGCGAGGCGCTGGCCGCACGCGTGCCCCCGCACCCGCTCGCGGGCACTCAGCCCCCCCACGCTCCGTGGGGGAGGTAGTCCACCGAGGTCCCCAGTGGCGGGCAGCATCCGCATCCACATCCACTGCGTCTTGGAGTTTCGGCCTTTCAGCCCCGGAAGCCTGAGGCGCACTGGATGTGGATTGACATTGGGCTCTGGAAGGCTCGATTCGTATTCATATCCAGTGCGCCTCGGCCTTGCGGCGCCCCTGCCAAGAAAGTCCAAGACGCACTGGATATGGATATAAGCGTTGCCCACACCAGTTCCACCGGCAGAATATGTCCACATCCGTCGCTTCGGAGTCGTGCCCTGGGATTTCGTGGAGCGGTGGATACGGATATCTGCCCGCCCGCGCCGGCGGGCGGATGTACATATCCGCCGCTCTCCGAGTCCTCGGAGCACGACCCAGCAGCAGTGGATATGGTAATTTTCTGGCGGCGCACCAGTCGCAGCGTCCGCATGCGTGTCCGCGCCTATGTCGGGCCCCCGGAAGCCCCGACCCCTTCCTTTTGGACGCCCTGGAAGCCAGCGCCAGAGAGGCATCGAGGCGCCCAGGAGAGAGCTTCGGAGGGGGGGGAGGCAAGCATGCGGCACTCTGCTGCGAGGGGGGCGGGGGAGTCCTGGACCCTCGAAGCATGCAGCAACCCTGCCAGGCAGCACTTGGCATTTTACCACGTCTCAGTCTTACTGGGTCCTGGAAGCGGCAGGGCCTGTTTTTCCGGTTCCGTTTTGCTACTGTATATTTTGCCGGTTGCAAGCTTCGCGCGGCCCGCTTAGCTTCGACCGGAAGAGGTGCGCTCTCGACCCGCGAATCAAAAATTGTATTGCCGGCTCCGACGCCGTGGTTTTGCCTGCTCCGTCACCATTTTTGCTGCTGGCTCCAGCCCGGGCTCCAGCCCTGGAGCCGTTCTTGCGTGTTTTGTTTCCGGTCGCCGTGTGTTTGCCGCCTCCATGTTCAAGGCGCTCGTTCGAAAACGGTGCAACAAAATCGGACCTGCCGCTTCCGGGGCCCATGATAAGGTCTCGAATCGGGGAGGGCAGGAAGCAAGGGAGGACAATTGGCGTTTACTGGACGGCCTTGGGCGTTTACTGGACGGCCCTGCCCTGTTCGATTCCTTCAGTGGTGGCGTTTACTACATGACTTCGCATGTCGGTGTGGTTATTGTGGGGGGGGATCTTTTGCCTTCAGGAAGGAGGAGGAGGAGGCCCCTGGAGGTAACGGCCGCGCCCCCGAGCGGAGGCAGGTGGCCGCCTTCGAAAGGTTCGCAAGGCCCCAGGACTGGAGCTGCGTGGGTGCGCGTCGAGCTCTCCGGGTGCCCGGCGCGCCCTCCGTGGGACTGCGCCGCCGGGCGGGGCCAGGTCTCTCCCGTTCCGCGGGGTGCGCCCGGGGCCCCGCGGCGGCCAAGGTGCAGGGAGGTTCCCGGACGTCTGCGCCGTAGAGGCTCTCCTGGGCGGATCGCTGGACGGGAGTTCACTCAAGCAGTGGCGAAGCGTCCTGGCGTGCCTACAGGCCCACCAGGCAGTGTTCTGATAACCTTTTGGTTTCCGCCAGACGTTCTTGGGACATCTCTGGCGGGGGCTGTCTGGTCTTGACGCATCGGGTTTAGGTTCTAAGAACATTGTTTTTCCCAACCATCGTGTGGTGTTGGGTCCTCGTTTTGAAAGAACGACCCCCGTGTTCTCCTCTTCTTCCTCCTCCTCCCCCTCTTCCCTCCTCCATCATCATCATCATCATCATCATCATCATCATCATCATCATCATCATCATCATCATCATCATCATCATCATCATCATCATCATCATCACCCGTTTCAGCACACCCCTCACACGTTTCGCGGCCCCATAGGGAGCCCCACCGAAGATCCCAGTGCTACCGTCCGCATGCGTCCCGCACACCCAGTACAGCGCTTCGTGGCCCCATAGGGAGCCCCACCGAAGGTCCCAGTGCTACCTTCCGCATGCGTCCCGCACGCCCAGTACAGCGCTTCGTGGCCATATAGGGAGCCCCACCGAAGGTCCCAGTGCTACCGTCCGCATGCGTCCCGCACACCCAGTACAGCTTTTCGTGGTCCCATAGGGAGCTGCACCAAGGTCCCAGTGCTACCGTCCGCATGCGTCCCGCACACCCAGTACGGCGTTTCGTGGCCCTCCTCCCCCTCCTCCCAGCGTTTCACCCACCCAGTACAGCGCTTCGTGGCCCCATAGGGAGCCCCACCGAAGGTCCCAGTGCTACCGTCCGCATGCGTCCCGCACACCCAAGTACAGCGTTTCGTGGCCCCATAGGGGGCCCCACCGAAGGTCCCAGTGCTAACGTCCGCATGCGTTCCGCACACCCAGTACAGCGCTTCGTGGCCCCATAGGGAGCTCCACCGAAGGTCCCAATGCTACCGTCCGCATGCGTCCCGCACACCCAGTACAGCGTTTCGTGGCCCTCCTCCCCCTCCTCCCAGCGTTTCACCCACCCAGTACAGCGCTTCCTGGCCCCATAGGGAGCCCCACCGAAGGTCCCAGCGCTACCGTCCGCATGCGTCCCGCACACCCAGTACAGCGTTTCGTGGCCCTCCTCCCCTTCCTCCCTGCGCTGCATCCACCCAGTACAGCGTTTCGTGTCCCCATAGGGAGCTCCAGCGAAGACCCCAGTGCCCCTGTCCGCATGCGTCCCGGAAGCCCAATTTGGCATTTTCACCCACCCAGTACAGCGTTTCGTGGCCCCTTAGGGGGCTCCACCACCGTTCGCATGCGTCCCGGTAACCCAATTTGGCATTTTCACTCTTTCCGTGGAGCGTTTCGTGGCCCCATAGGGGGCTCCACCGAAGCCCCTCAGTGGGACCGTCCGCATGCGTCCCGGAAACCCAATTCGGCATACCACCCACACCGTACAGCGTGGCCCCATAGGAAGCTTCACCGAAGCAGATATTCACAATTCTGGTACCCACAACTGCATATGGTTGGGACTTTCGCCAGGATAATTTTTTCTTGGACTTCGATGGTCTTGCTGTGGAGAGCGCGACTCTCCCATGTCAAAAGTCTGGGGACGTCCTGGGGTCTCAGGGATGGGTCTCTTGTGGAAGGTCTCTTGTGGTCTCGGGCCTCCACTGTACCACCCGCCCAGGATTCGGCCGCTTCTTGAGCGCTTCTTGAGCGCCTGGCTGCGGGGGGCGTTGGGGGTCGAGGAGGGTGGAGGGAAGGGGAGGAGGAGGAGGAGGAGGAGGAGGAGGAGGAGGAGGAGGAGGAGGAGGAGTTGGATGAGAAGGAGAAGGAGTAGGAGGAGGAAAAGGAGGAGGAAAAGGAGGAGGAGGAGGTGGAGGAGGAGGAGGAGGGTGGAGAGGAGGAGGAGGAGGCGGATTTGGTCTCTCGTGGAAGGTCTCTTGTGGACTCGCCTCCGCTGCAAGTGCGACCGGCTTCGCACTCTCTTCACCCGGGGCTCCGGCCGGGCTCCTCCCGACGGCGCCGTGCCTCGAGGCCACGCGGCTCCTGAGCGCGCGCGCGCGCGCGCGAGGCACCGCTGGCGCACGGCGCGGTGGCGGCGGCCACCGCGTGCGCGAGCGCGCGAGTGTGCGTTTTACCAGTTTGAAACATATCCCTATCCCTATGTTTGACATCACCTCACCTCGATGCCGATCGTAAGGATTCCCTCAGTTTTTGAGGGCCTATCCCTAAGCTTGTCCTCGCTTTTTGCTCGCCCATCTCAGGGATAGGGATACATTTGAGGCTGGTTAGCGTTGCGTCGCCGCCGCCATCGTCATCGCCCGCTGAACTTAGGTCGAGGTTGTCCCTCTGCAGGAGGAATATTCAAAAGCAGTCAGACAATAGTCTGGGGAAGATCTGTTTGATCATCTTTGACCAGAGTGGATAATTTTTTGACTGTTCTGTTTTTTCGTCCAACATCCCCTTGTAGGAGGACATGCCTGACCTAACGCTGCACCCCGCGAGGCGGCGGAGCAGAAGCTGCAGCAGGCTCGCCGCGCGGCGGCGCCGTTCCGCCCAGACGGCTGCCGCGACGGGCAGCAGCGGCGACGACGGGCGCGACGAGGAGGAGCACAGGGTCGTCTTCGGCGGCGGCGGCGGCGGCTGCGAGGGTGACGTCGAGGCCAGCGAGGCTGGTGGCGACCACGGCGAGGACGACGCCTACGACGCATGCGGCGAGGACGGCGCCGACGACGCATACGACTCGGACGAGGTGGGGACGACGACGACGACGAGAGGAGGGAGGGCGAGGACCAGGACGGAGGACAGAAGAAGAACAAGGCGGGGAGGCGGAAGGGGGTAACGGTTGAGAATGTGACGGGAGGGGTGGAACGGCGGGCGGAAGATTCGATGGGCATGAGGGACGAGAGGAGGAAGGGACATCGGTTGGATTGATCGCCCCCCCAATCTATCAGTCCCCGCCGCCGCACCTCCCCTCTCGCCACTCTCTTCCTCCTTCCCTCCTCCCTCGCCCCCCCATTCCCCCCCGCCCCTGCGCACTCTTGTCCCCTTATCCAACGTCTGCTCCAAGAGGGAGAGAGAGAGAGAGAGGGAGAGAGAGAGAGAGAGAGAGAGCGGAGAGAGATAGAGAGCGAGAGAACCTGTTCACTCGATGACATCTCCGGCCGAGGGTCGCATCGCTACTGGACAGAGCGTTTGCTGAGCACGCTGGGAGGGGGTCAGGGGGAGGGGGGGGGGGCGGATCCAGACAGCCCCCCCCCTCCTTCAGAAGTCGGTGGGTGGGTCGGCCCTCCCACACCTCTGGGTGCGAGCGATGGCGGCGACGCACGGCGCCGGGAAGCGAAGTCGACGACGTCGACGTGCCCGACCGGATCGCCCACGATGACGACGTGCCCCGCCCGCCCGACCGCCAGGCTCACCCGCAAACGACGACGGTGACGACGACGAGCACAGCGAACACGACGACGCCGACGAACACGACGAACATGACAACCACGACGACGACGACGACGACGACGACGACGACCACGACGGCGGCGGCGGCGGCGCCGGTGCTGGCGGCGGCAACGACGACGACGACGACGACGACGACGACGAGGCGAGTTGGGGAGCGTTCTCACGTAGGAGTGAGCGAGGGCGGTGCCAGATCATGGTGGTGGTGGATTCCGCATCAGAGAAGCGTTCACAGAAGACGCTCTTTCCATAATTGCGTAACGACACCCTTCCTCCCACTGTACCTTCTCCTCTCACTCCACTCCCTCTCCTTCACTCTCCCTCTCCCCCCCTTCCCCTGCCCCCCATGCCGCCTCTCCTCCTTTCTACTCTCCTGGTCCTCCCCTCCCCAATCTCGCCCTCCCATCCCCGGAAGGGTATGTGGATGCCCTCCGTGGCCTCCAGAAGCTTCCAGCGGCACAGAACATACTGACCTCGAACACCTACCCCCCCCTCCCCATCCTCTTCACCCCGCCCTGGTCCCCCCATGCCGTATTCGGCGCGTCAGTTCCGAGTACAAGCACAGGGTGGTTTCGATTCGCTTCGGTTGCATTTCCCGAGTGGCTCTTGCGCAAAGAAGGAGTCCAGAAACAGCCCCTCTGGTCTCTGGCCTGATGGGGATACCAGCAGCGTCTGCTGGGTGAGGGAAGCTGAGTCTCCGACGCCGCCCAGGCGCTACCTGTATAGCCCCGGGGCTTCACTTCGCACGGCGTCCCAGAGTCGTGCCTGATGGTTTGGCTTCCCCCCTGACCTGGCATCGCTCGGACGTGTGCATTTTTCTTTCGGCGAGGACCATCGAGGAGCATCCTCGACCATTTGGCGAGAAAAACCACGCACGAACCCAGAAAAACACAGGGAATGGACGTCCGAGCGATCGCGAGCTGACGGCTCCCCAGCTTGGCTCGGAGCCCCCTCCTCCGAGGCCCGTTCGTGGGAGCCCCCTCGGCGGCGACGTTGAGACCTGCCTTCCTGCACGTGGACCGCCTGTGGCCCCTCCCCCTGCTCCCCCTCGCCCGTCAGGCTCCTCCTCCCCCTCCTCGTTCTCCTCCTCTCCCTCGTGAAGGTGCGAACTCGGGCAGGAAAAAAAAGCACACAGACACAACCAATCGTCGGCTCCCAGGAAGACATGGGGGAACATATGGGAAGCGGGTGGGGAGACAAAAACCCAGAAATGATTGGAAAATATGGGGGATCCTGTTAGTTGTGTCTATTTTTTTTGTGTGTCCCTGGGCCCCTTCACGAATCGGGTCCACCTCCGGTCCCAAACGTGTCCCAAATCTGGCCCACGTTTGGCCCAAGTCGGACAGCGCCAGGGGCCACGCCGGCTCCCACGGATCGGGTTGACCCAAACAACGGGGTCCAGCGACAAGGGGGTGGTGCAACAGATTGGGTGCAATAGATATGCGGGGTTGCAATACATTTTGGGCGGGCGTGCAATACATACCAGGGCGGAAGTGTATTGCATTCTTGCGTGCAATACATTACTCGCAATGCAATGCAAAGTACAAGTCTCCCGCGCAGTGCATTTGCAATACGATTGCCCCAAATCTATGGCACCACCCCCTTTCAGCTGGACCTCTTTTTGGGCCACTGGACACCAGACTCGGGCCAGACGACAGGGGGGGATTGGGAAAGGGGGGATTACGAAATCTGTTGCATGTAACTGGTTTCGGCCCCGCCGAGGGGCCTATTCCTCGATATGGGAAAATCAGCTACGTGAGCTGATTCTCAAACCCCCCCTTTGCGATCCCCCCTTTCGCCAGACCCGACAGACGTCCCTGGACCCCCTGTCCCCGGGCCCAGGCCAGGTCCGGGGGCAACATGGACAGCACGCAGGCGATCAGCTCGCTGCGGTCCGAGATCCTCGGCGCCGCGCCGCGCCCGCCACGACGGCCTGGGGGGACGCAGCCGCCGCCGACGGGGGAATCGCTGGTGATGTGGTCGGCGGCGTCGTCGTTGCGGGGGGGCAGCAGGAGGAGGGCGACGAGCAGGAGGTCGAGAAGGAGTTGGAGGAGGAGGCTCTTGAGACTCTGGATGACGACGAGGTGTGCCGAGAACGGGAGGAGGAGGAGGAGGAGCAAGAGGAGGATGCGGGTACGTCTGATACGGATGAGTGGCCCCGCCCCTCTATTCCCCCCTCCCCTCCCCCTCCCTCGGTAGATGGGCGGCCCTCCTCCTCCTCACCCCCCCCTCAGGAACGGGTAGGTCCGCACCGGTCTCGGCGGCGCGTTCGCGCGCGGTCGGGCGCGGCGCGGCGATCGAGAGGGGACGCCCGAGGGGACGCCCGATGGCGTTGCGAGATGCCCTTCGGTAGTCCTGCACTCGGCAGCCACCTTGACGGCAGCGCATCCAAGTCAACGATCGAGCAGGCTTCAGCGACCACGGCACCCGGCTTCTCCACCAGTCCAGCAAGGTCTTTACGACGCCCATCTACCTCATACCCCAACCTGCTTTGTCAACAGCTCCGCATACATTGCTACCAGGGCACCACAGCAAAGCAACGCAGCTCACCGATAGGTCACTACCGCAAGCAGGACGGTAGCACCCGGGCAGCCAACCAACCTTTGCCCGACCCTTTTCGATTTGAGCATGAGCTTGCCCCAGCACGCACTGATTCACAGCGGCAGCAGCTTGTGCTTCCTTCTACGGCGGTTGGGATACATCAGTCGGCGGCACGGCACACACCAGCGCAAACTTACCAGTTTTTGTTTGCATACCCTTGTCTTGACCTTCATGGACGACGCCAGCTTCCACCATCATCTCCCCAGGGCTACCAGCTGAACATATTTGAGGATAGCGTGATGATATCGGGTGATTAACATACAGGCGCGGGGCAATGAAACTGGGGGGGGCGGCGCGAGAACGCGAAGATGTGTCTGCGCAGCGCGAAGTGCGAAGTTGGGCGCCCATGAAGAAGGCGTGTGGGGGGGGAACGGGGCCCCCCCCATAGCACGGCCCGGAGGCATCTGCTAGGCCTTTCCGCTGTACTGCAGCACGGTGATGGCTCCGCGCGATTCAGTATCGTTTAACCGATCCCCATCCCCATCCCCATCCCCTCCGAGACCCCCACCACATTACCACCCCAGTTTGGGATACACCCCTCGAAGCCCGAAGGGAACGACCTATATCCCCATCTAGGGTGGTATCGGCCAAGTGCGGCCCAGGCCACGCCGCTGGGGATGGGGATCGGTTAAACGATACTCAGCGATGGCGCGTGAAGCACGCGCCATCACATGGCGTGTTGGCCCCGGGTTCTGGCACACGCCACCTTCCCAACACGCCACCCTCCCCTCCGTCGACGCAGCTTGTTCGACCATCTTCCCCGTGGCCAGGTTCTTGGCATCGCTCGGACGTTTGCATTTTTTCTCGGCGAGAACCATCGAGAGCCATCCTGGACCATCGAGCAGCAAAAACCACGCACGAAACCAACAAATACACGGGAAATGGACGTCCGAGCGACGTCAAGGGTTTCCACCCCGAATCTCGGGCGGGTGGCAGGGGGGGCTCTGGCCCAAGAAGGGGGGTGCAGAGAAGGGCCCGGAGGGGGCCCTCTGGGGTCACTCCTGGAGCCAGCTGGTGCCCAGAGAGGGGCCCCGGAGGGCTCCTCCGTTCTCTCACCCGTCACTCGGTCCAGCCCCCATCCCCCGACCTTCCAGAGAGCTATTTTTTAGCACTGGAGACCTAAGAACCTAAAAAGCTGAGCGGAACAGCCCAAAACCAAAACGTAGAATAGCTTTGGGATAGGTTTTTCAGTCGCGGGCTATTTTTTTAGCCCTCTTGGAAGGTCAGGGTCGCCACCCGCCCGAGAGCAGTGCTGCGGCGGTCCCCGGGGCCGGGGACCGGCCTCCGGAGCTCCAGCCTCGGACGCCCGGCGAGGGCACGGAAGGGTGGTGTACGACGCCCCACAAGCTGGGCCTCCATGGAGGGGGGATTGCAAAAAATAATAAAAAAAAACAGGATTGCAAAATCAAAACACGAAGGATTGCAAAAAAAAAACCCAGGATTGCAAAACAAAAACCCTTTTTCGAAGGATTGCAAAAAAGGACTGCAAAAAAAAGGATTGCAAAACAATGTTTTTTTTTGCAATCCTTGGGTTTTTTTTGCAATCCTTCGTTCAAGTGAGGGCGGGGTGGCAGACGGGGCCGGAGGATCGCGCCGCATCGCCGATGCATCGGCGATGCCTCGGCGGCGCGGTTCGATGTGGGGCCCAGCATTCTCCGCGCCGACGCCGCGGAGGTATCGCCGACGTCGCCAGTGCATGGCCGATGCATGGCCGATGCATGGGCGATGCATCGCCGATGTATCGCCGATGCGGCGAGACCCTCCGGCCCCATCTACAGTCGGGGCCCTGAAGAAGGAACCCATTCTTTGGGGAGGGGCTCCGCGTTCCTTAAGTGTTTCACAGCTTGCCTCAGGTTTTCCTGGTGTTTTCGATCGGAAATCGAAGTTGAACTTATGGAAAAAAGGGGCCTCGTTCCTTATTGAGGGTTCCTTAGGTCAACGCCCCGACTGCACTCGGACCCCATCTGGGAGACCTCTAAACAACAAAGGTTGCCCAACGCCGACAGCGGCCGTTGTTGGGCAAGGGGCAGTCTGTCTCCATTGGGCGTGGCCCGCGGCGGCACCGTCGGCGAATCCTGCTTTCAAAGGAGCAGGGAACGCCGTGGGTCGTTGTGCCCACTCTCCCCCTGCCCGCTTTTCTGATGCAGCTCTGGGGAGGTAAGAGTCTGGCTTTGCCCTGGTCTGAAATGCAGGTCCATCCCGCTCAATCCGTCTTCGTCCTGTTTACTCCGGTGCAGTCCCGCTCCATCCGCAGCCTGATCCAGCGCAGCAGGTCCCCAATGGCGCGTCATCCTCCTGAATCCTTCCGGCGAAGTTCTCCCTGTAGGTACCCCCATAGTGAAGATTCTTTCCGTACAGCCAACCCCCATAGTAAGGATAGGCAATGTTCCTAAAGGGTACCTTTGCATCCCTGCCTCCACGGTTCATCCTTGGCCACTTGCGTTGGCCGCGCCCCGTTCGAAAAGCTTCGAAATGGGCGCCCAAGGCCGTTGCATCGTCATCGTGCATCCTTACTACACGTGTTGCCTGTACTGAGTATCGTTTGCCCGATCCCTTCTCTCCCTGGGACATGGCATCTCGGCCCCGCCAGCGTAACTCCCCAGTTGGGGATGGCTCCCTCGGAACCCGAAGGCAATGGCCCCCCGTGTAGGGAGATACCTCGGCCAGTGGGGCTCAGGCCACGCCAGCGGGGATACAGTCGGGGCCCTGAAGAAGGAACCCTTTTCGTTGGGGAGGGGCGCCGTGTTCCTTAATTGTTTCGCAGCTTGCCTTGGATTTTCTTTAGGTTTCGATGCGAAACCGAAGTTCAACTTATGGAAAATAGGGGCCTCGTTCCTTATTTAGGGTTCCTTAGGTCAACGCTTCGACTGTAGGGATCGGCAAAAAAGGATGCTCATGTACTGCTGCTGATCGTCCCGACCACAGCGCCCGCGCCCCGCAGCCCGCATGGAAGACAAGGGCGTCCCAGCGCCGGCGCCGCCCGGCAGCGGGCCGCTTGGCAGCGCGCTGAGGCTCTGTCCTTGGGGGGGAGGGGGGGATGCGCGCCCGGGCCGCGCGGGTAGGATGCGCTGCCCGATGGCGGCAGGAGGAGGAGGAGGAGGAGGAGGAGGAGGAGGAGGAGGAGGAGGAGGAGTTCAAGCAGTGGCGAAGCGTCCTGGCTCGCCTACAGGCCCACCAAAGAATTTTCCAGGAACCTTCTGTGCTTCGCACGACATGTTATTAGGACATGTTTGGCTGGGACTGTCTTGTTTTAACGACTCGGGCTTATGTTCTAAGAACACTGTGTATGATCTTAGAACATTTCTGGGTTCAAATGACACTTCGTGGTAGGCCAGTAGGAATGCCTGGACGGTCGGTCCCTGCCCGAAGGAGGAGGAGGAGGAGGAGGAGGAGGAGGAGGATGCGATGGTTTGCTGCAGGTGCGCGGCTGCCCGACGGCGCCCCGTTGCCCGGGGAGAGGGGGTTTCTGGTACCCTGGGCCTCGCTTCATGGGGGGACGGTGACCGGGAAGGATCCCTGAGATCCTGGCGTCTCAGTTCTTTAGATCTGGGCAGCTTTTCTTTGGGGCCCCGGGCCCTCACGAACCGATCCGGCTCGAACAATGACGCAGCAAGCTTGGGTCTAGGGCTCCGGGCGTGACTTGTTTCACGACTCTGCAATCTTCCCGTCCCGGTGGCGCTCTGCCGCCCGGGGAGGCGAAGGTGCTGATGCCCTGGGCCCGCTGAATGGGGGGACGCTCGATACGGAGGGGAAGAAGCGTGCCCTAGATCATCGAGCACAAGAGGAGCTCTAACCCTAATACCATGATGAAGACGCGGCCTCGCTGAGGTCCCCATCTTCGCATTAGGGATATACAGCTGGGCTCTTGGGCCGATGCATCTGCAGGAAAAAAACCTTATCGTTGATAATTTTGGCCCTCCTAACTTAGGTCCCCTCCCCAAGGGTCAGGGGTCCTTTGTTGGTTAATCACTCGGACCCTCTCAGGCCCCAATGCCCCACTCTGGGGCCCCACAGGGAGGGAGAGAAAGGTGCCCGTTTCGGTGGGCGGCTTTGTGGTTGCCGTCGTCGGCATCGTCGGCATCGTCGTCATCGTCGTCGACGCCATCGTCTTCGTTGTCGTGGTCGTCGGCGTCGGCGTCGTCGGTCGTGCGTCGTCGGCGTCGTCGTCGTCATCGGCGTTGGCATCGTCGTCGTTGTCGTCGGCGTTGGCGGCGGCGTCGTCGGCGTCATTGTCGCCGTCGCCCTCGTCGTCGTGTTCGTCGTCGTCGTTATCATCGTCTTCGGCGACGTCGGCGTCGTCGTCGTCGGCATCGTCGTCGTCGTCGCCTTCGTCGTCGTCGTCGTTGTCGTCGTTGTCGTCGTTGTCGTTGTCGTCTTTGTCGTCGTCGTCGGCGTCGGCGTCGGCGGCCTCTGCATCGGCGGCGTCGTTGGCCTCGGCGTGCGTCGCGCGTCGTGCGTCGCGGGTCGTTCGTCGTGCGTCGTGTGTCGTGCGTCGTCGTCGTCTTTGTCGTCGTCGGTCGTCGTCGTCGTCGTCGTCGTCGTCGTCGTCATCGTCATTGTCGTCGTCTTTGTCGTCGCCGTCGTCGTCGTCGTCGTCGTCGTCGTCGTCGTCGTAGCGGCGGCGGCGGCGGCGTCGCCGTCGTCGTCGCCGTCGCTGGAAAAGGGGGGTTGTGGACACCCTGATGAATCACCCAGGGGGGGGGGAGGGGGAGGGGAGGGAGGGGGATCCGAATCCCCCCCCCTGGACCTTAGGGAGGGGGGCTTTTATTTTCCCAGGGGAAAGGAGGGGTTCCAGACCCCCCCACGAATGTTCCCCAGGGGGGGGTGGGCGGTCCAGATCACCCAATTAGTTTTCCTCGGGATGGGGGTCGAAACCCCCGCCGCCCCCGTGATTTTTTCTTTGGGGGGCAACACCCCCCTCCCCTGCCAGCAGCGGCAGAAGGCGCACTTGCGGATTCCTAGTGCTCCACGCCCGCTGCAACAGCGAGGGCCGCTAGGTCCTTCTTGGCATTCCTGGAGATCCTGCGCCAATATTTTCCTGACCTCGTTCTCGGCCGAACAGCGGACCTCCAGAGGTCTTGACCACTTCCCCGTGGCCCGTTCTTCGGCCCGCGCGTCGTGCGCAGCTTCCCCGCGAACAGTGCTTGCATTGAGGGGTTCTTCAAGTCGACGCGCACAGTGAGGACGCGCGCCCTTTTCTAGGATACCCTCGAGTCCTTGCCACTGCGGCCCATCCTGTGCCGTTCTCACTCCGTCGCCCAAAGATCCCAACTTCCGCCTCTAAGGCTCTTGCGCTCCCAAGATACGTTTTCATTGAATTCTTTCGAGACGGGCGGTAAACCATGAGCGCAGTATGCAACATGTTGAGACGGATTAGCGATTGCATGTTGATTGTTTAAACATGGATGTTGCTCAACATGTTGAGATTTTCTTCTGAGACGGTGGGTGATCAAACTGCACTCTGCTTTTTTGTAAGCGTCGGTCCAGCCGGGTCGCGGCCGCCGCCGCTCGTCGCCGTCGCCCGTCGCCGCAGTTTCGGGGCCCCAGTGCCGCTGTTGGAACGGCCCGTGGCAGTCCGCCGCGCCGCCGCCCCCGGGCCCCCCCCCCGAGCGGCGGCACCCCGCACAGCCGCTTGGGCTCGAGAAGCGCCGCAGTCGGCGGCAAGTCATGGGAGCTTGGTGGTGTCCTCCTCCCCCTCCTCCTCCTCCTCCTCCTCCTCCTCCTCCTCCTCCTCCTCCTCCTCCTCCTCCTCCTCCTCCTCCTCCCCCTCTTCCTCCTCCTCCCCCTCCCCCTCCTCCTCCTCCTCCTCCTCCTCCTCCTCCTCCTCCTCCTCCTCCTCCTCCTCCTCCTCCTCCTCCTCCTCCTCCTCCTCCCTCCTCCTCCTCCTCCCCCTCCCCCCCTCCTCCTTCTCCTCATCCTCCTCCTCCTCCTCCTCCTCCTCCTCCTCCTCTCCTCCTTCCCAGTTCCTCCTCGCCCACGGGGCGAGGCGCACTTGATGGGAGCTGCTGCGGCCGAAGGGCCAGACTTGGCTAAAGAGTCCCTCCTCCTCCTCCTCCTCCTCCTCCTCCTCCTCCCTCCTCCTCCTCCTCCTCCTCCTCCTCCTCCTCCTCCTCCCTCCTCCTCCTCCTCCTCCTCCCCCTCGTCGTCCTCCTCCTCCTCCTCAACCTCCTCCTCCTCCTCAACCTCCTCCTCCTCCTCCTCCTCCTCCGACTCCTCCCATGTGCGCCAGCGATTGATAATCAATGAGAAGGCGCCGATGTACCGTTGGTTCGCGTCAATGCAGCGTCTGTGGGCGTCCACGGCGCCGATCAGCGTCGATTCGCCAGAGCCAGCAAGGTGGCATTAGTGACCGTCGGTGATGCACCGTTTGTTCGCGTCGATCGAGCGTCGCCTGGCGCCGATCAGCGTCGATTCGCAAGAGCCAGCAAGATGGCATTAGTGGCGGACGCATTCAGTACACTTCATCCTCCCCCGTTTCCCTTCTCTCCCCGTCCTTCTTCTCTCCGGCCTGTACGGGCTACGAGCATTGGTGGAGGCCCCTCCCTGTCAGCTGGGAAGCCGACACTTTTCATCATCGCGAGCCTTCTCGGAGTACAGTCGGCCCGGATTAGTAGGTCGACCCTGCCAAATCAAGGGTACCTCGCGACCCATGCCTCCTGCATTCCTAGGGCAACGTGGCCCTCGGAAGGGTCTTTGGTCCGCTCGCGTGTCCTGTCCAGTGAAGTCCGACTGTAAAGAAAGATACACAGGGCATGGGGGCTCTCATGAGTTGCCACCGAAGCCGCATCGGCCCGCGGGCGCCCTCCGAGCCCCGCGGGCCCTGCCGCCAGGCATGGCGAGGCTGCTGCTGCCGCCCGCCTGCAGGAGCGGCCCGGCCCCTGGCCGCCCGTCCAGCCCACCGGGCCAGGGGGCGAGTTCCGGGGGCAGGTCCTCGGATGAAAGAGGAGCACATTCGCACAAGCCAAGAGGGTCTTGCAATGCTGCAGGGGCTCCCCCCCATGCCAACCACTGGCGGTACAGCTCGGCCCTGCCCTCCTCGCCCGTCCCCACAGCATCATCATCATCATCATCATCATCATCATCATCATCATCATCATCATCATCATCACCATCACCATCACCATCACCATCACCTTCACCTTCACCTTCACCTTCACCTTCACCATCATCAGCATCATCATCGTCATCGTCAGCGTCGTTATCATCATCATCATCATCATCATCATCATCATCATCATCATCATTATCATTATCATTATCATTATCATTATCGTCATCATCATCATCATCACCATCACCATCATCATCATCATCATCATCATTATCATAACCATTATCATAACCATCAGCATCATCGTCACCATCACCATCATAATCATCAGCATCATCAACATCATCAGCAGCATCATCAGCAGCATCATCAGCATGATGAGCATCATCATCATCAGCATCATCAGCATCAGCATCAGCATCATAATCACCATCGTCAGCATCAACAGCCCCCATCATCATCATCATCATCATCATCATCATCAGCAGCATCATCATCATCAGCATCATCATCATCATTGACAAGAGCATTCACAGCATAATAATCATCATCATCATCATCATCATCATCATCATTATCACCATCGTCATCATGATCCTCATCAACAGCATAATCGCCCTCGTCATCGTCATCGTCTTCATCATCATCAGCCGCAGTAACAGGATCGTCATCGTCACCGTCATCATCATCATCTGTATCATCAGCATCATCATCACCATCATCATCACCATTATCATCGTCATCATCATTATTACCACCATCACCGTCATCGTCCTCGGCATCATCATCATCATTACTATCATCAGCATCATCATCATCATCAGAAGCATCATCATCATCGTTACCATTGTCCTCGTCACCATCAGCATCATCATCACCACCATCATCATCATCATGATCATCATCATCATCATCATCATCATCATCATCAGTATCAGGGATCCTCATTCCCCCCGATCTTCAGCGGCGGCCGCCGCCGTGGAGTAATTAATTTCCGAGTAGTGTTGGGGGTCTCAATTCGTCAATGAGCCCCGCGCAACAAAGAAAACATGGATGTTCCAATCATTGCTGTTTCGTGTGAAAATGACGGAGGTGAGCCATAACAGAGCTCGACCGAAACAGTGCTTAGGCGATTTCGTGGGTAGTTGTCGGTTCGATTTCGATTTGTAGCAATGGTGGAACGAAGGCAAAACGAGGGAAAACGAAAACAGCACGGAAACGAAACACACTGTTTAGGGCAATATTTGAACAATTTTGTCCAGCAGGATTCCGCGCGCATTCCTTGGATTCGAGCTGAGCCCCCCTGGCGGCTCCTCCGTCACCGCCCCTGGCGCGCGCTTTGCGCGCCAGGGGCGTGTCCAGCGCCGAGGAGCTCTGGCAGGAAGAGGTACTGGGGCCGCCCCTCATCCTGGAGAGGTCTCGCTGCGACGTCCGGATTCTCCTCGAAGTTTTTGCCAGAACGCGCTCCGGGTGAGGCCTAGGGAGTACTTGGCATGGCTCGGAGGTGTGCATAGTTCTTTCGGCGAGGACAATCGAGGAGCCTCCTTGATCATGTGGCGAAGAAGCCACGCACGAAACCGAAAAAAGCACAGGACCTGGGCGTCCCAGCGATGGCGAGAGTAGCGGTACCGGTCCAAGGGGGCAGCGGTATTCCCAGACCCCCGTCGAGCCGTGAGACCATCACGACGGGAGGTGTCCTTCCCTGCTCGGCCTGCGGGGGCCCTTTCCCCGGGTGCAGAGCGGGTCTCGGGGAAGGGGTCGAGACCCCCGGGGGGTCGACGCCGTGAAGAGATCACGGCGTCGGGGGTCGTGGGTACAGGCGGCCCGGATTAGCAGGTCGTCCCTGCCAGATCATGCGTGTCCTGTGCCTCGCGGCCCATGCCTCCTGCATTCCTATGGCAGTGTGGCCCTCGGAAGGGTCTTGTGTCCTCTCGCGTGTCCTGTCCAGTGAAGTCCGACCGTAGCGGTATCGGTCCAGGGGGGGCAGGAGCCCAGGGCAACGCGCTCAGGATGACCCTTCGCCAGAGGGACCTCTGGTGCGCGGCTCCCGGGGGGGCGCCGGGCGGCCCAGCCCAAGCCCAACGCAGCCCCAAGCACGCAGGCGAGGTGGGGACAGGGATCGGTTCAACTCAAGCAGTGTCGAAGCGTCCTGGCGTGCTACAGGCAAACCAAACAGTGTTCTAAGAACCTTTTTTTTGAGATTTCTACGAGATGTTCTCTGAACAGTTTGGCTGAGATTCTCTCTTTTCAACACATCGGGCCTTTGTGCTCAGAACCTGATGTTTGTACTTTGTTTTTTTTGGTAGGTTCTAAGAACATGTCGCGGTTGGCCTACAGTGGAGGTCCATGCCAAGAAACACCCTGCTTGCTTCCAGGGTACCCTGGGTTTCTTGGGTTTCGATGGCTTTGCTGCGGGAATCTTATCACGCTCCCACACCACAAGTCAATGGACGTCCTGGGGTCTTAGGGTTGGGTTTCTTGTGGGAGGTCTCTTGTGGACTGGCATCCACTGCAAGAGTGACCATTCGCCGGAGTGACCTTTGTTGCGGGCTCACTGGGGTCCCCCGACCGCCGAGCGCGGTGCGGTGGTGGCGTCTTGCGCGCTTGCGTTTGGCCCCCCCGCGTCCCCGAAGAAAGCCACGCACCAATGGTCATCCTTACCCAGGGTCACCCCTGCGTGTAGCCGGGACAGGTCCGCGCCCGCCGCGCTGCCTTGGTCCTCCAAGCGCCGGCGGCTGTGCGGGAACCTGCGGCTGCCGGGCCCGCAGGACTCGAAGAAGGAAAGGCGCCATACACATAAATGTTCGGCGCTCCGCGAGGATTTCTTGGATCCGCGCTGGGCCCCCCCGGCGCCGCCCCTCGCGCGCTCCGCAGGCCAGGGAGGGGGGGCCCAGCGCAGATCCAAGAAATCCGCGTGGGCCGTCGAAAGGTTCTGTTTCTGTTGTTTGGTTTTCCTTTCCTAGGGTGAAGTCGGGCCCGTCCCTCTACAGGAGGGATCTTCCAGAACAGTCGAGCTGGTCCGGGGACGATGTTGCTCTACTATCTGCAGGTCTCTTTGAAGATGTGCTGACTTCCACTCCTCCACAAGCCGCCTGTAGGAGGACGTGCCCGACCCAATCCTGAGGACGCGCCCCCCGCGGACGGGCCGCCGCCCGGCGAGCGGGCGGCCGGCCCCGCGGCGGCGGCGGGCCCCGCGGAGCCGCGGCCGGCGGAGGCGCCCGCCGCCGCGCGCCGCGCGGCCGGCGCGCCGTGCGGCCGGCCCATCGGCCGGGGCGACCCCGCCGCGGCCGGGCGCCGGCCGCCCCCGCCCGCGACGCGGCGCCCAGCGTGGCGCCGGCGGGCGCCGGCCGAGGCGCGGCGGGGCTCGGCGAGGCGCCTCGCGGCGCCGCGCGGGGCGCGCCACGGGGTCCCGGGGCCCCGCCGCGCCGCGCGGCAGCGCGGCGCGCGGCGCGCAGCGCTTCCCGAGCGTGCCGTGGGCGGCCTCGATGTGCGGGCGGCTGGCGGAGGACCTCGGCGTGGCCTGCCCAGGCCCCCGCGCGTTGTGACAGAATCACGGCGGGAGCTTTTCGCGATGTGTCGAAGACGAAAGAACATCGTAAACATAAGCTATTGGCGCTCCGCGCGCATTTCTTGGATCCGTGCTGGGCCCCCCCGGCGGCGCCTCCGGCGCCGCTCCTGGCGCGCTCCGCGCGCCAGGGAGGGGGGCCCAGCACAGATACAAGAAATCCGCGCGGAGCGCCAAAAGTTTATGTGTATGGCGTTTTTCCTTCTTCGAATGTTCGGCTTCCGGGGGCCCTTCCCGGGCCTCGGGACCGTCAAAAACGACTCATGTCAAGACGAAAAGCCGGTCCCGGGGAAGCGGTCCAGACTTTTTGGGGGTCGAAGTTGCCGGAAAAGTCACGCGACGTCGGGGGTCTGGGACGTGAGATAGCTTGCGATGGCGTTCCAGGTTGAATGCCGCACGATAGAGTAAGCCAGTGGGACATCGGGCCGGGCGAAAGGGGGGGATTGGGAAAGGGGGGGTTACGAAATTTGCTGCATGCAGCTGGTTTCGGCCTCACCGAGGGGCCCATTCCTCGATACATGGCCGCCTCCGGCGCCGGGAGGCGCCGGGAAAATCAGCTACGTGAGCTGATTCTCAAACCCCCCCTTTGCTATCCCCCCCTTTCGCCCGACCCGAGACACGGTGATGCCACAGGGTCTGACGGTATTCAACCTTGAGCGATCGGGGTCGCGATCGGCTCAAAGTTTGAACGATCGACGCGGCGTCAAAAACCTTTGCGCGCGCCGACGCCGCACGAACCTACCGTACATCGGGGAAACGTAAGACTCGAGTGCGCCAGAATTCAGTTTTGCCGACGTTTTTTGACGAGCGTGTCCTGGGCTTTGACGGTCCAGTTTTCGTAGGATGTTTGCAGCGGGAGTTCGCGTCGAAGTTCAGATTGAATCTCGTAATTTTGAATTGGCCCCGTAACGCCAACCTGAGTCCCCCGAACCCGAGTCTTACGTCTCCCCGATTACATGCCAATCGTTGGAAGTAGGTGTTTTTGGATGCCCACGTCCCAATCTACTTTAGGCGCCTTCCTACTTCAAGGGTCAAGGGGTTCTCCTTCCTTCCCTCGTCTTCAGGGGGCGGGCGGAAGCCCGATCTACTTGCAACGCCTTCCCACTCCATGATTCTACCCACTTCTTCCGACCGACGGGTATCCTCGAGCCCCACCCGGCCGTGGTGTTTCGAGGCCTCCCCGTTGGGGTCGGAGCAGGTGGGGTCGGAGGATCGCGCCGCACAGCGGATGTTTCGACGACGCGGTTCGAAGATCTTCTTCACGCCGACGTCGCCGATGCGTCGCCGACGTCCCCGATGTATCGCCGATGCGGGATGATCTGATCCCGTCTGCTCGGTCGACGTCCAAGATCTACGACGCCTCCGGCGTAACCGATCGTCAGTCCATCAGACCACACTCGTCGAGGACGGGCCCCTCGAAGCTCGGAGGGAACAGCGCACTACCCCCCTTATCTGGGAGGCACATCGGCCGCTGGGGGCCAGGGCGGGCCAGTGGGATGGCATCGCTCGGGCGTGTGCCCTCGGTTCTCGGCGCAGACCGTCAAGGAGCATCCTGGACCATCTTGCGAAAGGGGCATATCGAGGAGCATCAAGGGGCATCTCTGGGGTCGCCGTGCGGAAAATAAAAACGCAGGAAGCCGACGAATGCGCGATGGCGAGGCGGGTACATGTCAGGAGGGGGAGTAACACGCAGGCGCAATTCATCGCCGATCCCCGGGGACAAATGGGAAGCTATGGGAAGTGGGCATCGCTCGGACGTGCGCATTTCTTCTTAGCGGGGACCCTCCAGGAGCAGCTTTGACCATCGTGCGACGGGCATCGAGGCGCACCAAGGGGCGCATGTAGGATCGTCGGTCGACAACTCATTGCACGACGCCGAAACATGCAAGGGCATGGGCGTCCAAGCGATGGCGAGGTGGGAATAGGGATCGGTTAAGCTCAAGCAGTGTCGAAGCGTCCTAGATTGCTTATAGGCAAACCGAGCAGTGTTCGCAGAACCTGCTGTGGTTTCTACGAGATGTTATCCGAACAGTTCTGGCAGAGTCTCTCTTGTTTGAAAACATCGGGCCTATGTGCTTAGAACCTTTGTTTCTCGATTCGTTTGGTAGGTTCTGAGAACATTTCGTTGTTGGCCTACAGTGGAGACCCATGCCAAGAAACACCCTGCTTGCCTCCAGGGTACCCTGGGTTTCTTGGGTTTCGATTTGCCATGGGAAGGCGTGACGTTCACAAACCAAAAAATCAATGGACGGCCTGGGGTCCCAGGGTTGGATTTCTTGTGGACAGGCCTCCACTGTAAGAGTGACCCTTCGCCGGAGTGACCTTTGTTGCGGGCTCACTGGGATCCCCCGACCGCCGAGCGCGGTGCGGTGGTGGCGTCTTGCGCGCCTGCGTTTGGCCCCCCCGCGGCCCCCAACGAAAGCCGCGCGCCAGTGGTCACTCTTGCCCGGGGTTGCCCCTGCGCGTAGCTGGGACAGGCCCGCGCCCGCCGCGCTGCCCTGGTCTCAGGCCTGGGTTGTTTGTGGAAGGTTTCAAGAGGGAAAGAAACACGCAGACACAAGTAATCGTCGATTCCTCGGAACATATGGGAAAATATGGAAAGAGGGGGGGGAGGCACAAACCCAGAAAATATGTGACAATATTGCGCACTTGTTTATGTGTGTGTCTTTGTCTGTGTGTCCTGGGGCCCCTTCGAGGTTGTGGTCGAGCGGTCGGCCCCCGCTCCGCGCACGGTGCTCAGGACCTGGCGGCCGCGCTGGGGCGGGGCGGCGAGCGGCGGCGCCTGCGGGTCGGCACGGACTGCGCGGGGGCGGAGGCGCCGCTGCTGGCGCTCCGGGAGATCTGCACGACGCTGGGGCAGTCGCACGGGACCTCGGAGGAGGGAAGCGCACAGTGGCCGGAGAAGCTGGAGGAGGAGCGGGCGGAAGAAGAGGCGGAGGCGGAGGCGGAGGAGGAGGCGGAGGAGGAGGCGCGGGAGGAAGGTGGCCACCTTCTCGGATCGGGGGGGTGTCCCCCCATGCCGCCCGCCTTCGACATAGGGGAGGCAGCATGCCTCACAGCGGCCAGGGGCCAGCGATGGGCTCGGGCGGCCCGTCAGCGGGGTCTCGTCCTGCGCGTACAATCCGTTGTCGGCGAATAAGCTCCGCTCCCAGGACATAGTCAACGAGATGAAGAACATAAATGTGGTCGGCCTGATAGGCACCCAGAGGAGGAGTGGACACTTACTTGAGCCAGTATGCAGGACGGACACCCGTTGGTTCGTAGAATGGGGGTGGCAGTCGAGTCAGCATGTCAATACGAGTTGCGGGTTATCGTTATGGACCAGTAAACGTAAGTTCCCAAATTTGTTTTCTGAAAAGGTTAAGCTGCTATACCAAAGGGGCTTCGAGGAATAGTTGGAGCACGTCGAATTGAAAAGAGGTCTCACATATTATTGCTCATTGTGATGTACACTCCGCTCATCCCAAGCCGAGGGCGATACCCGAGGCAGAGCTGGGAACGCACAGTCAAGAGTATTGTGCAGTGTCTGAGTGGTCATTTGCAGCGAACGTCTGCAATATGGCCACCAGTCATATTCATATATCTGGACGGTCAATTCGAAGAGCTCAGTGGACTAGTGGGACCGTGCCGTCGGGGAGTCGCTAACTACACGACTCAGCAGATTGCCCTGGGGCTGCAGACACATCAGTTGTGTCTCATCAGCACGCATTTTGCCGATGCTGGGCCGACATGCTTCAAAAACGGAGTGGCCAAGGCGCCCGACTATCTGATTGCCCCGCAGAGGTGCACAAGGCTACGACGTGGTGCAAAACATTTCGAGCGAGTACATGGAAGCTGCAGTTGCGTAACTCGAGTGGGTTGTGGGATCGTGTACCTTTGGCGGCGCGTTTCAAGCTCGACATCACTGCTGAGCCGCACCTGCCGAGAATGGAGAGAGTTCGACTCGACCAGGAGAGCAGGGCGATAATGCTGCAGATTGGCACCAATCGAAGGCGTTTCGTAGAACATGTCGGGATTGAGCCAAACGAATAACGACGATGGTTGGGTGCGTTTGCATGGGGCGAGTTTCCAGCATTTGCGAATTCAGCGATCCGCAAGGTGATCAAACACGCAGGCGAGAAGCTTTGTGCAGGCCAGTGCGGCAATACTGAGAACCATCAGGCACGAGCCCGAGAGGTTCGAAGGCTATTGAGGCGGCGACGGCAGATCAGAGCAGAGTTTCAACATTTGGCGCGCGTGCAGACAGCCCCCAGAGGGGTGTGTAGTTTCGATCAGACTAGATCCAATGAGATAGAGTTCGAGCGAGATGTCCAACAGAAGCCCCACGATCGAGATGTGGAATCACTTCAGCTAGTGCTCCAGCTGAGGAGAACAAGTGAGTGTGTGAGGCGGCAGTGGGCAGATAATTGGCAGGGTCAATGCGAACGGTTTTCGCAGTGCATGAGATGGCCAGAAAGGTGTCGCAACGACGACGAGGCGGGAGCAAGAGGGTATTCGGCAGGCGCAGAATCGAAGATACGGAGGGGGAGTGGACGCAGAAGGTGATGAAACCTGGGCGGGAAGGAGGATGTTGGGCGAGCGGGTGCGACATCAACGAGATCACGTGGAGGGGAAGGCGCTGCGTGCGCTCGCGGGTGACGGAGGGGGAGATCAAGGAGGAGGCGAAGGGGCTCAGGAAGGCGGCGTGGAAGGCGCGTTTGCGGAGAGCGTGCCAGCGGTGGATTCTTGGTGCGGAGTTGCCGAGTTTTTTATTATGATTAAAAACACCGCAGTGGCTGAATCAGAGAGTGGCGATGCATAAACATGGATTGGGGCATGTATCTGCGGCGGGGGATTTCTGCGCCCCGTGCTTGCGTGCGCGCGCGGGAACGCTGGTTGAAGCATAGTTAGTTACACAGAAATTTTCTCTAGATTGGCTAAAAAGGCAGAGCTGCGAGAATAGGCGAAGGCAACGATGCAGAATGAGCTGACGGAGAAGGAGTGGCGATGATAATACGTAGCATGGCGAAGTCTTATTACAGGTGTATACTGATGAAAGCTAACGCGACTGGAGCCCCGCGCTGGGCGCGCGGAGCTTTGAAACACAGAGGGGGGGAAGGGGCGGTCTTGATTCAGATGGGTGGTGCATGGCGGTTGAAGCAGATGTATATCCAGCGCGCAAGAAGATTGGACGAACGCCTTTTTTCTCTGTCAAGACCCACAAGCCATTGCAGATTGTGCATCTGTATATTGATGCCGGGCGATCGACAGGGTGCAGTGGGCTCATTTCGCGCCTCAGGGTACTGCAAGTCGGGCGCTGTTGATGGGGGATGGCTGCATGCCATGGGATCGCGTGATGGTATTCCTCCCTTTTTTTTGCTATGGCGTATACTCTGTGGAGTCTCCCTGGACAATCAACAGAGGACAAGCGGCCATGAATTGACTTGTGGTGATGTCGCAGACGCGTTCAAGTTTAAGACGCACCGGGCAGCGCAGATGGGGGGCAGATGTCAGAATGAAAGCATTTCGTCGAGCTTGGCCCAGATGCGGCTGGCACAGAACGCGAGCCTTGTTGTCGTGGCAAAGGCTCATCTGCGCTGGAGAAGAGATGATCAGCATAGCGTTCGATGGGCACGCGGCGGCGGCGGCGCGGCACCTGCGCATGCGGGTTACCGCGAGATTCACGATGACAGCGGAGATTGGATATCGCATTTTGGCTGCAAAAATGGCGCGGGCCTCGATGGGGGACTCTTGGGGCTACAGAGTATCTCAGAGATTTAATTCATCGGCTTGTAAGGGTTATGTTATGAATGCCATCTTGGCTGGTTCGGAAAAGTTTGCAAAGTACCGGGGGCCCATGGAGATGGGTGACTTTGCTGGCCCCGAGGGGTGCGTGGCGAGAAGAGGGCGGGTTGTTCTTGGAGGAATTGCTTTCCCGAGGGAGATTGGGGGGGATCAGGGCCCCCGCGAATCTAGAGATAATGCAGAATCTTCTGCGTGGTAGTATCTGCGTCGAGGTTGGGATTAGGCGTTTGAAGTGGCTCCAGAGTCCCCTGGAGGATCTGGTGGCGGCGGACCCAGTGCTGGGGGCTCTCTTCGGGAAGCTCAGGAGTGGGGGCCAGGGGGCGCAGGAGGTTTTCGGGGGCCCAGGGCGATGCCGTGGGCCCATCAGCGTGGCTCCAGGATGTCCAGGCCCTGAACATCGTCGAGGTTGGAGAAGCGTTTCTGGGGGCGCACGGGAACGATCCGAAGAGGGCCGTTCGCTCAGATCGATGAGGCAGCCTTTCGTGCTCACTTTGTTCGGCATCGAGTCGGATGCGAGCCCGAGCGACCTGGGCAGGAAGCTGGAGGCGAGTATCTACGTTGGGCCGAGGATGGGGCTGGGGTTTGCCGCGTCGAGCGAGACAGAGCGAGGTTGGCGTCGCATCGTGTGCGCGCGCGAGGTGGAACGCGCGGGCGCCATGTACTATTCAGAGTATGCTGCTTCTCGATCCAGTGCACGATTGGCGGCGCAGCATTCACCGCGTATGCGCAGGCCCAGGAGCACATGCGCAGAGCGTTCGAGAGAGGGACATGCGTCTACAGAGCGAGATCGTGCACTGAAGTAGCAATGGTTGTGAGTCGTTGCAGCTTGTGTGATTGCGTAGCGCATGAGGCCCAATATCTTCGCCAGCATGTTCTAGCAGAGAACCTTGCCTCGCATCTTCCAACTCATTAACTCGGGTTTCCTGCGCTCGGGTTCGTGAGTGCTCGCCAACTCCGACCAATCCGGCGGGAGGACAGGAGAGCCCAAGAAGAACGCGCAAAACCAGAGAGTTCGAGGAGGTAGCCGAACGAAAGCTGACGGCGCAGCTCGAGGCGAGGGTCAGGACGATCGAGTACACCACCACATGCCAAGTGTTCCTTGCCAGCGACCACCCGCTGATAGCCAACGGCCACGAGATCTGCCAGAAGTACCTGGCATCGGGAGGGGCCGACACACGAGCGTGGCCCCCCAGAGTTGCATATTTTCGCACGCAATATATCCGTCATCGCCAGCTGGTTGAACGCGGACTCTTGCCCGCAGGGATTGAGGCGTTTCAGAGGAGTACCAGGATTATCGAGGCGATGCTGAAAAAAACGGAAGCCCAGTCACAGCCAGCCAATGGATCAAAGAGTATACGTTGTCGCCGACGTTCGACGCGAAGAAGTGCCGCCTCACAATCAGTCTGGTGGGAAATCTCGTGGTGGCAGTCACGGCCGAGGGCGCGGAACTGCTCAAGGTGCAACAGCTCGAGGCCTGGGACATGCGCGGCACCGAACCAGAGGCAAAGGCGATCCTCCAGCGCACCCCGCTCGAGGTTCCAACGGTCGTGAAAGGCCAGGAGATGCTCGCAATGAACGCCGTATTCAGTCAGATCTATCGGGAGTGGGGGGGCAGTTGCAAGCCAGGCCGAGCCCCGAGGAGCGAGCTCGCCAAGCAGCTGCGGAAGACGTAGAGCAGGTCCGAGGTGCTGTAGGACGCGGGGCGCCGCGGCCCGCGCGGGCCACCAGCGGGCGAGGGACTCAGGGCTGAGTTCTTGTTTGTCGCTTTTTGGTTGTGGTCCCTGGGGCCCTGGCGGCTGGTGGAGGGGAATGGTGTTTGCCGTCTCCTCTGTCGGTCGGCCGCCTGCCGGTGGCGCTCCGCCCCCCCACCTTGAAACAAAGCTGGGGGCCGAACTCAGGCAGAAGGACAAGCTCTAGATAGGGTCGAGTTGCCCAGCGTCGTATAGCGTGCACACGTGGATTTGTGGCGCGAATGGGAGGGCAAACGAAAGGCGGAGGAGGAGGCGGCGGAGGAGGAGGACGGAGGAGGTGGAGGAGGAGGGGGAGGAGGAGGAGGAGGAGGAGGAGGAGGAGGAGGAGGAAGGGGAGGAGGAGGACGTGGACGAGGACAAGGAAGATGAGGACGATGAAGGTACCAATGCTTCTACCCCTCCCCATGTTTCCCCCCTTATCGGGCCTCCTGGGAGGCGCTTGTCGCCACCGCTGGTATTGCGTCGAAATTCAGGTCAGAACGCACCCCGGGAGAGGTCCTGGCAGCAGTGGTATCGGTACCCATTGGTTTCCCCCCCACAATTGTTCTTGGCATGGCTCGGACGTGTGCATTTTTGTTCGCCGGTGAAGGCCAGTCATCTTGGATTTTTGTCGATAAAGACGCGCGAAGTCGACAAATGCACGGCACGGGATATGGACGTCCGGGCGATGGCAAATAGTTGGACCGAAGTTCGCCAGAACATTGCCGGAAATCGCCGAAGATCGCTCAAGGCCGATGAGAAGTCGGGGGTCCGTGGTCGAACATGCAGCAGCAGGGACGCGCATCGGGAGCCAGATGAATTTTGTAAGGGTTCTTTGCCGCGCGACCTGCGCGGTGACTTCCCGCGGGAGTCAAGAAATCCAGGCCTCCTAAAATGGGATCCGAGTAGATGAGGTCGGAGGATAGCGCCGCATCGCCGATGCATCGCCGATGCGGCTCGATGTGTAGCCCGCATTGTCTCGCGTCGACGAGGCCGATGCATCTCCGACGTCGACGATGCATCGCCAGTGCATCGCCGATACATGGCCGATGCATCGCCGATGTATCGGCGATGCGGCGCGATCTTCCGACTCCATCGACTCCGACCTGGCCTCTAAGAAACTGCTGCGTTCAGGGTCTGTTCGTGTTTTCCCCTCTCAAATGCAGCTCGCGCGCGAATTTTTCGGCGTCGAGTGTCTTGCGAGGGCTTCTTGCAGCCACGCCCGCACTCTACCCTACCGACACCGATGCCGCTTCCTCGTCGGGGGGCTCTGCGGGGGGGGCTTGATGGGCTGCGTTCGCCTCGCCATCATGGTCAGGACGCGCCCTTGGCGAGGTCAGGGGAGTATCGGTGTACCGCTCCCCCCCCCCCAGGATCGAGGTCGGCGTGGACCACCTGTTCTCTTGCGACGTGAACTACGCGTCCCGCGAGTTTATCGCGCGTAATACCCAGCCGGCGGCGCTGTTTGGAGACCTCCTCGCACGGGACGTCATCTCGCACTGCCTGCTTGCAGAGGCTCCACGGATGGTCCCAAGCGACATGGACATCTACGTGGCCGGATTTCCGTGCAAGGATTTTTCGATGTTGAACCATGCCCGACCTTGCCTCGAGGGCCCCAACGCTGCTATCTACGAGGGCGTGGTGCGCTACATCCAGCAGCACCGGCCGCGGGCCTTCATCCTGGAGAACGTGTCGGGCTTGTTGATAAAGAAGAAGGATCAGGCCTTGGCATCGCTCGGACGTGTTTTTTTTTGGCGAAGACCATCGAGGGGCATCTAGGATCGTCGTGCGAAAAATAATCGCACGAAACCGAGACATGCACGGGGAGTGGACGTCCGAGCGGTGGTGAGAGGCGGAAAAGCCAGTGGACGTGGTGATGCGGACATTGAGGGCCATCCCGGGTTATCAGGTGCGTGGTTGGAAGGTGAACACTGTCGAATATTGGCTGCCCCAGAACCGCAAGCGGGTTTACATTGTGGGCGTCAACACCGACCGGGTAGTGTTGCGGAGGCCGCTGGACCAGAGGGGGTTGCCTTGCCTCCTCATTTCTTTCCTCCAGAGGAGGCCACTCGACAAGTGGGGGTCGCTCCTCCTCCTCCTCGGCCTCCACCTCCTCCTCGACCGCCTCCTCCCACATTTTCATCCCCGTCGGATGCCACTCGACAAGCGGGGATCGCTCCTCCTGCTCCTCCTGCTCCTCCTCCTCCTGCCCCTACCCTTCCCCGTCCGCCTCTCACCATCGACAAGCCCTGGACCTCTCCCAGAGCGGGCTCCGGCTACGACCTCGCCCGTTGTGCGACCGGGCCTCGCGCGGGAGGTACAGTGAGGCAGAGCACGTCAAGCTCAAAACGTTGCCATCGTGATAGTTCTCTTATTCATTGTTTTGCCGATCGGCGCGGACCCTCGCACCCCTCTCCCCCCCCTATCGAGTAGATGTCGGCTGTTTCTGGCGTCTGGTTCGACCCCATAGGACGCACTGTTGCAAACAGTCGCATAAAGCAGAGGTCCGCAGGCAGACCCCCCCTTCCGCCCAATGTCGAAACGCCGACCCCCGTGTTTTTTCCCCCCTTCGTTGGCCCGATGCGGAGGTGCCCATGCACGGGTTCCCAAGGCCCCCGGAGGCCTCTAGAGGTCCACATGGGACTATGAGTCGAAGATCAGGGGATGGTATCGGAGTGGAACGGGGTTCCCCAAGCAGGACAAGGGCTCCCTCGAGGGCGCGAAGTTATTCGCGCTTCGCGCTTCGCGGTCCTCGTTCCTTCTCCCCCTCCTCCTCGTCCTCCTATTCTCCCTTTGGGAGGGCGGCGCGAGAGCGCGAAGTTATTCGCGCTTCGCGCAGCGCGAAGCGCGAAGTTGGGAGCCCTAGCAGGAAATCGGTTTCGTCTTCGGTGAGAGTCGTGCGTGACGCGCGTGCAGGTGCAGGCGAAGCAGGGCGAGTTCAAGACTGATCCCCGCCTTGTCAGGAGGGAAAGAAACACACAGACACAATTAATCCTCGATTCCCAGGAAAATATTGGAAAATATGGGAATTGGGGGGGAAGACAAAAACCCAGAAAATATGGGAAAATATGGGGACTATTTTTATTTGTGTGTATTTATTTGTGTGTCCTAATTTCCCTTTAGCTTTGTCAGAACATGTTGCCATCATGCTGTTCCACTCCCCCCTTCAGGCCTCCCAAATGGGTTCCGAGAAGATGAGATCGGAAGATCGTGTCGCATCGCCGATGCTGCCTCGGCGATGCGGCTCGATGCGGAGCCAGATTTTCTCTACGCCGAGTGCGCCGATGTATCGCTCATGTAGCCGGTGCATCACCAGTTCATCGGCGATGCATTTGCGATGTATTGGCGATGCGGCGTGATCATACAACCCCATCTACAGTCAACCCGCATAGTGAGGAAGGGCAACCTTCCCAAGTCTACCCATGCATCTTTTGCTTCTCGGTCCATCCTTGGCCACTTTCGTTGGCCGCGCCCCGCTCAAAGGTCTTCGAGATGGGCGTCCGACGCCCGTGCATCCTCATCGCGCATCCGTACTATAGGGTTGACCGTAGCGATGCACATCCGATCCCATCTACGCAGACCCCTTTCGGGGATCCCCCCCCCTCCGACGGGCGGTTGCCCAGTGGTTGTCCCATGGTTGTCTGTGGCTGTCCCGCGGTGGTTGCCCCGTGTTTTCTCTCCTGCTCTGTGGGTTGTTCTTCGCGGTTGCCCCACGCGTTCTGTGCTGATGCTGTGGCTGGTATGTTGGTCCTGTGGTTTTTCCTTTGATTGTCACGTGGTCATCCTGTGGTTGTCCCGTGGCTGTCTAAGGTGGTTGCCCCGAGTAGTTGGTTCCGCGCTTGCCCCGTCGCCCTGGTAGTCCCGCAGTTATGTTCTCGGTAGTGCCGCTGTTGTCCCGTGGTTGTCTTGCGATTGCGTTGTGGTTCTCCCGTGTGTGGTTTGTTGTTGTGTGATTCGTTTCTTGGGGTTGTTCATATCATTGGTCCGACGATGTTCCCGTGGTTGTTCTGTCGTTGTCTTATGGTTTCACCGCGGTGGTGGCTTTGACAGTTTAGATGGTTGTTCCGATGCTCCGATGACAGACCCGAGATTGAAAGTGGTTGTGTCGTGTTTTGTTCGTTGATTTTGTTGATGTTTGCTCCGACGGCAGTTCCGATGGTTGCCCTGTAGTTCTGTGGCTGTCACGATGGATGCTCGGTGATTTCCAGGGTATGGCGTCGTGATTGTCACGTTGTGAGACTGAGCAGGAACTAGCAGGGACCAGCGAGTTCTATGTATATGTGTTTATGTATGCATGTATGTATGTATATATATACAAAGTTGGATCGATACACATTGCGACGAAACTAACGATTCAGATCGGCATCGCGATGTATACATGCATAAATTCAACCATAGGGGGACAGTGTGAAACCGACATGCAGATCGATGTTGTGATTGCTCTCGGACCAGAATTGACGGATCGACATGGGTATTGGGATGTACATCTATGTATATACATAGATCTATATTCACATCAAATAAATACATGACATACAAGCCCTTTGGCCTTGGGGCGGCCACTCCGCTAGAACTTGAGTGCGAGCGAAGCGCGCGCGATGGTTCTAGTAGAGATATGTGTGTATTTATACGTATGAATATTCATTCTCGTGTGCATACAATATATGTACACCTGCTCACTCATACACATATACATATATATATATATACATCATTGTTTATGACTGTATGCATACACACCTCGATACACACAGGTGTTTATACGTGTATATTACATGTATGTGTGTCTGTATATATGTATATACACATATAGCATGTAGCCTTCGGCCCATCCTATCACCATGCTTGGCTCGCATGGCAGACGCCTCTTGGATACTTGTGGGGAACTCTTGGGAGGCCTCTCAGAAGACTATTGGATTCGATTTCGTGGTGTCATCGGGGCCTCTCGGCGGTCTCAAGCGGGCCTTGTGGGGCCGACCTGTTTGCCTTTTCAGGGCCTCCGGGAGCTTGCGGGGGGGCCTCTTGGCGGCTTGCTGGCGGTCTCGGTCGGGGCCATCTTGGGGCGAGGTCTCGAAATGACGGTTCGTGCTCCCATGCGTGCGCCTCTAAGCCTTTTGTGGGTTTTTTTTTGTGCCGTGTTGTGGCCATCGTCGGCGTCTTGGGGGGCGTTCTCAGGGGCCTTTTGGGTAGTTTTTGGGGCCTCTTGGAGCATTTGGAGCGTTCGTCGAGAGCCAGATCCGGCGAAAACACTACAATCTTTCCAAGCTTGCAGCAGGACCATTTATTTTGGCACCTCGGGGCCCTCTAGGTGGGCATCTTGGAGCCCCCTTGCGGCGTCTTGGAGGCCTCCTGGGCCGTCTATGGGCCATCTTGGGCGCCTTGGGGCGATCTTTATGCGACTCGGGGCCATCTTAGACTACCTTGGGCGTCTTTGGGGGCCCTCTTGGTCCGTCTTGGGGGCCCTCGTGCCTTTGAAACAGTAACGCGACCGACCCGAAGAACGCCCAAGAGATCTAGGAATTTCCTCTGTGGGCCCCTTGAGGGAGATCTGCAATATTCAACGCAGAGATCTCGACTTGAACTCGTGCATCAGGGCGCGGCGGCACACAAACATATATATATATATATTTATATATATATATATATAGATATGTTTGTACCTCGCCATGCAGTTTTTTAACGCGGCGAGACTGTACGACCTCCTGAACGTTATGTGGAACTGGAGGTGTGGTTTCTTCGTCTTCGGGCACACTTCTTCCGACACGACCATCTTGTTGCACTCCAGGTTCCGCAACCACTCTACGTCGCCATCGCCGTAGTTGAACAGGGTGCAGGGTCCCCAGGACTTATGCGTAGGGCACGGCATGGTTTATTCTAGGTAGACTGCATTTTCTTCACTCGTTTGAACGCACCAGCGTTTTTTTCCGCGTGATGGTAAATGCCCGTTCGTCGTTCTGGACTCAAATCGTATGCCGCCAAGGGCAGGCGCCGCCGCGCTAGCAGCCTCAAGCAGCGTGTCCGATTTCAGCGCCCCACGGCCGCGAATCAGCGTTCGCAGATTATGCGCCTGTCTCGGCAGGTGTCCCGCAATACGCGCTCAATTGCTAGCCAGAAGGTCTTTACCGATTGGCAGTGGTACGAAGGTGCCAGTACTGGGATTTCCCGGCCTTTGGCCACGGTAACGTGGTATGCGTGGCCCCATAACGGACGTTGGCCGCGGGTTGCCCGTCTTGCGTCAGGCCAACTCGGTGAAGACCGCGTCGAAGACATTTTGCATGCGGATGCAGCTAAATTGTCGCCTTGACGCAGGAGACGTGACACAGCGGACGTTTTTAAACGTCTTGCTTGTTTCCCCACGCATGGATCACACCAACGTGATTAAACCCACTATATATACATATATGTATATATAGATATATGTACACACATGTATTCACATGCATGCTGATATTGCTAATTCTATTGATCGCGAATCTGACCCGCCAGTCGCAGGCCCGATTCTGCACATATCTTCCCCAACGAAAGGCATCAACACCCTCAGGTGGTCCTGTCGATAATTGTGGTTTGAGGGGGTGACCCTGCCTGACTGACGCACTGATTGAGTGGCTGACTTTCTAAATGGTTACACCCGCGAAGACTGCAAGGCAGCAGTCCAACAGGATCCCAAAGGGTGACTGGCGGATATATGGCCGCCCAGGGCGCAATTCATGACACAACCATTAGCAGACCACTGTATGCGATCGGCCTCCGAAGGCACAACCCATGCCAGGTCTTTTGTTGTGCTCGGCCGCCGAGAGCGTTGCCTACGGCGCAACCGACAGCAGGCCGTGTTGTGTTCGGCAGTCGAAGTGCGCAAGTTGATGCGCAGCCCATGGATGGTTCAACCAATGGCGCAACCCATGCATGGAGCAATCGACGGTGCATCCCATTGGTGGTGCGCACCGTGGCAATTTCCATGGTCCTACGCCCGATTCGTCATGCTCGTTGTTCTTTGGCGGTAGAGTCCCAGCGGCGATCTCTCTCTCTCTCTCTCTGATTGACGGCCCTGGGCCTGAAACCAGCAAGCCCAAGATGGCGAATCACCGACGTCCGCGTCGACTTTTTTGCGATCCGCTGGCTGCTTGGGTCCTCTTCCGCTTCCCTTGAGTTTCAGCGATGCGGAACATAAGCTGCAGCACCGTGAACAGGTGCGCCCGTAGCATTACATCCCATATTTGCCCAGCACCCCTCCATCCAGTTCTATCTGACAGGGCCCCAGGGCCCTGGGAAGGGGCGAGCATGCCCAGCGGGACAAACTGCGACGCTGGGATCTCGGGGCCTCTCTTCCTCCGGGTGAAGAAACACGATGACCATGGCCAAGATGTCGCGGGATGTTGTTGACGCCGGCATTGTTCCTGGTTCGTGGCGGCCGTCGCCGATTCGCGAGGATGATTCACGAATTGACGATGACCAAGGTGGACGATGACCAATATCGTCACCGTTGTCTCTCTGAGGTGGTGGCTATCCGTAAACACCGCCTCAGGAGGCGACCTTCGGGTAACTCGGCAGGCGGCGGCGGATTGGACATACTCGGTCCCCCCCGGGGCTGAAGTATGTCCATATCCACCGCTCGCTGGGGTCCCAGGACGTCGGTTCCCCAGGTGTTGGATCTGGACACTTCCGCCGGGCAATTCCCGCGTTCAGTCTTCGTTACGGTCACCGATTTCTCTCCTCCCAAGTCCTCTCCGCGGAGGCCCCTCGAAGAGTGGGGGCCGTTCCTCCATGCGCAGAAGGGCGCGCCGAGACAGCCTGCGCACTCGTTCATGCTGTCGGACGAGGAGCGGGACGCGCAGGTGGGAGGATGACGCGAAGCTTGGTGGGCCCGGGAAACGGCAGGCCCGTTTTTTCACCGTCTCCGAACATGAGTCTTTTGAAAAGGGAAACGGCAAAAAAACGGCGACCGGAAACGGCAAGTGAACGGCTCCAGGATCGGAACCAGAGCCGGAACCGGTAAAACAGCGGCGACGGAACGGGTAGCAACAACGGCGTCGGAACTGTAAACAGTTGGCGTCGGAAGCGGCAAACAAACGGCAAAACGGAAACGGTGAAAGAACGGCCCTGTCGTTTCCAGGGCCCGCTAAGAAGCGGAGGAGGAGTAGATTTATGATCATATTTCTGTTGACGGCAAACATTTAGTTTTTCCTTATGCGCCAGATGATCATTCAGATGCACTTCGCCTTCAGTGACGGTATAGTACGTGCCCGGGAAAAGCATCACGTTTGCAACGCAGCGTTGCGTTGATACAGCAGAGGAAGAAGCCTTTTGCCCCTGTACCCGAAGAAGTCCTTCTCCACCCCGATAGCGCATCCTTCGTGTCGCAGGACCTGTTTCGGGTTGATTTTGGTGGAGGGTGGAGGAGGAGGGGGGAAGGGGAGAGGGGGAGAGGAGGAGGGTGCCGGACGGGGCTAGGACGATGATGAATTCGTCCCAGCGCGTTCCCGAACGCTCTCAGAGCGTTCAGGAACGCCCTGAGAAGGTTGCGGCGCCCGGTACATCACCCAAAGCCGCCAGATATGAGAGAATCAGTGTATCCTCACCCGATTTGATCTTCGCCCTGGCTCCGTTTTAGGATGGGGGAAGGACTTTCCACGGCGGGGCCGCTCCATTTCACGGCAGGCCGCACGTGATCTTGCCATGTTCATGGAAGGGCCCAGCGAGATCCCCTTGTGCTGACCAGGAGCCGCCGCGTGTTGTCCGCACATCCACAACCCCCTTGTGACTACTAGTGTTTTCCTCCAAGACGTGCGTGGATTCCGCGTCAGCGCCGCGACTGCGCATTTGGAAAAGCAAGATTCGCATCCACACTCGATGATTCACGTTTCGACGGTCGCATCGCGATTTTGTCTGTGCGTTTTTGAGGTAGCAGCTCCCGCAACAACAGACGCAGCACAGATCTTGGACGGAGGTTGGGTCCAGTTGCCCTTGTTCATGCCATTGTGAGCATTGCTTTGACCATGTCACCGTGGTTAGTCACGGGCCTCTCCTGTGTAACCGACTTTCTTGTTTGACCACGATTGTGGTGTGACAAATATTTTGGTGTGGCCACTATTGGCCGTGCCCGCAGACAGTCAGGAGGAGCATTAGCGATGATCGGGTAGCTCTCGGATGTGCATTCCGTGACGTTTATTGTTTACCATTGCCACATCTTACCCAAGCTGAGAAACGGACATATCGTGTATCATGGTAGCGCGGAGCGAGGTTGTGAGTCGGTCTGCACGCGATCCCGCTGCGCATTCCTCCGAGGCGCCCTAGGAGGGCGCCTGTGCGGCTGGCGTGGCCGCAGACGAGACCTGCTGGCAGCTGGTCTCGGCATCGCCTGGCAAAGCCTGGGTGATAATCGTGAAGGGCGTGCTGCAGCTTGCGCGCCGCAGGCGCAGGTGGCACTGCCAGGGCGAGGCCCTCAAGATCGTCAAGGCGCGAGGCCAGACGGTCACAGATGATGGACGAGGCCCGCGTCGCCCAGATCGAGCAGGCTCTCACAGCGGCGCAGCAGCAGCAGCAGCAGCAGCAGCAACAGTTGATCCAGCAGCTGGCAGCCCAGGCCCAGTCGGCCGAGGTCCGAGCTCAAGCAGCAGAGGCTACGGCTCAGGCGGCGCGAGGGCCAGGGCAGCAGCAGCCAGCAGACCAGCCTGGTGGCCCACCAGGAATGAACCGATTGATTGATACGGGGGTCCTCGGGAAGCCGCGCGCTTCAACGGTGAGCCCGGCACCTGGCGCGACTGGAGCACGGTCTTCCGTGCCTACGCCAGCGCCTGCGAGCCGGCCCTGATGGACCTCATGGAGAACGCATAACACTCGGACGAGCCGGTGCTGAACGCCACGCTGCCAGAGGAGCACGTGCGACTTAACAGCCAGCTCTACTATATGCTAGTCATGCTGAGCAAGAGTCTCACTCGATCGCATAGCCAGTGCTGGTGTCAATGAGGGACTAGAGGCCTGGACGACACTCGTCGTGTTACATGCGCCTCAGAGACGGACCCGAGCGGCAGGACTGTTACAGGAGCTGCTCTCGTGGGGCTTCGATGGTGACGTCCCTTCGAAGCTGATCGCCTTCGACAGGAACGTCAAGAGCTACGAACACGCTGTCAGCACCGGGCTTCCTGATGAGATCAAGATAGGCATCTTTGTCCGCTCTCTCAAAGAGGGCCCGCTGCGCCACCACCTGCTGCTCGACAGCCAGCGGCTGGACACGTGGGAGCTGGTGAAGGCAGAGGTGGAGAACCTCAGGCGGGCCCAGATCGCGACGACGGCAAGCACTGGCGCGGGCACAGCGCCGATGGACTTCGACTCCTTCGCGAAGCTGCTGGCGGCTAATCGGCTTCAAGGGTGGCAAGAATGGCAAGATCGGCAACGGCAAAGGCAAGACCAGTAGGCCAGGCAAGGGCAAAGGCGCTGGTGATCTGCCGACCAAGCCGTGTCCGATCTGCGGCAAGACAGGCCGGTGGAAACGGGACTGCTGGTGGAATTTGACAGCTGCGTCAGGCAAGGCACCGCCGAAGGGTGGTGGAGGTTGAGGTCGTGGCAAAGGCAAGGACGATGGCAAGACTGGTGATGCACCGAAGCCGAAGCCATGCTGGACCTGCGGCTGGACGGCGCATCTGGCCAAGGACTGCCCGGTCGCAGAGAAGGCTGGCGCCCTGGGCGAGATGGCTGAGCCGGAGCCGCCCGAGGGCCTGGGCGGCCTTTCCCTGGCGGCGCCCGACCTGTCGGCCGTGTCCAGCGCAGCGAGACGGTGCGCTTCGGGATCGATTCGGGCGCGGCGGCCACGGCGACCCCGCGCTCGCTGGGGGCCGACTACCCGGTCACGGAGAAGCCGTCGGGAGCGCAGTACCTCAGTGCGACTGGTGAGCCGATCCGAGGCGAGGGCCAGCGCAAGCTCACGGCGCAGACTGGCGGCGCATTGTGCGGCATCAGGGCCCGGGTCACGGGCGTCAGGCGACCGCTGCTCTCGGTCTTCGACCTGGCGAAGAGCGGCCACCGCGTGGTCTTCGATCAGGACCAGCGCGGCAACGACATCAGCACGCCGTCCACGCTGAGAGCGTCAAGACGGCCCGGTTCATGTGGAGGCAGCGCACGTGGGACCTGGACGTGAACATCGTGCAGGCGAAGGAGGTCACCCAGATGTCTCAGACGCTCGTGAGGGAGTTGCCGCTCTGCCCGGTCGAGGGTTGCAGTGGCTGCGACAGGCTACATGGCAAGAAGCCTTTGTGCCCTTTCGGGCGGCAGGCGCGGCCATTCGACCAGCGATGATGGCGCCAGCAGTGGGGCCTCCTGCGCTGCATGGCGTCGCTTCTTTGACAGGAGTGGCACCTCATGGAGTTGATGATGGACAAGTTGCGACCATCGAGAGCCGCTTCGGCCCGGTCGCAGGCCACCCTGCCCCCCCAGGTGGAGACGCCGCGGCATGGGATGACGGAGTTGGAAGTACAATCGCGCTCGAGGGTGACGCCGAGGAGCGCCGCGAGTCTCACCCTGATCCAGCGCGAGCACGACGTGGGCCAAAAGCGCCTACTCAGGCAGCGCTCGAGCAACATGAAGCAGCAGGTCACGTACCATTCAGGGACTGGTGCTACTTCTGCTTGGCTGTGCGTGGCCTTGCTGATGGTATCCCAGCGGGCGCTCCTGGGGGAGCACGTGCTATGCCTGCGTTTGCGGTGGACTACGGGTACCTTGTGAAGCGGGGGGAGGTGGAGTCGGGCCAGTCCGCGCTTCCCATCCTCGTCGGCACCGACTCGGCCACCTCGCGGGTCAGCGCCGACGCCCCCCCGTCCAAGGGCATCCAGCACGAGTGCAACGTGGTCCGTGCTTTCAGCCAGGTGGAGGCGACCGGCCACGAGGAGATCATCTACAAGTCTGATGGTGAGGGCGCCTTGGCGGCGCTCAAGCGAGAGGCGACGACCCGCCTCAGGAATCTGAAGATCTAGGTCGTACCCGAGGAAGCGCCGGCCTACGTCGGCGCCAGCGACGGCCTGGCAGAGGTAGCAGTGAGGGGGGTCAAGGGCGTCGCGCGGTCTCTGAGAGTCGCCTTGTCCCTGCTGCACGGCACAGACATCCCGAATGACCATCCAGTGTTGACCTGGCTGGTAGCCCACGCTGCAGGATGCATCAATCGTGGTAAGATCGGCGCCGATGGACGGACGCCGCGCGAGAGGCACGCGGGCAAGGCCTCTCGCAAGGTGTTGCCGCCTGTCTGTGAGATCATCGTGTTCCTCCAGAGTGCGAGGCGCGACACCGAGTTCGAGGGGCGCTGGAAGATCGGAGTCTTCCTGGGCGTCATCAAGAAGTCGAGCGAGATGTTCGTCGGCCACGACCGCAGGGTCGTACGCGCGCGGTCCATCAGGAGGAGACCGCCGAGCCAGTGGGCCGACGCGGCCCTGCTGCTTTCGATCAGGGGCGCGCCGTGGACGCCGACCCCGGACAAACCAGAGAACGCTCGCACCCCGACGGTCATCGACGAAGTTCCGGTCGACCCCGCCGTGCAGCAGCCGAGGGTTGTGCCAGAGCAGGTCCTGGCTGAGCCTCGGAACGTTTACATTCGCAGGAGCGCCGAGCTGGCCGAGCGCGGTTTCACAGATGGACGCCAGGGCTGCCACGCGGCCCGCGCCAGCGCAGCGGCCAAGGCCCACAGCCCGGAGTGCCGTGAGCGCATCCAGCAAGCCATGGCGAATGACCGTGAGCTCGCGCCCTGCGTCTTCGGGGCAGCGGCCCGCCAGCTGGAGGCGGCTGACAGGGCGCCTGTGCGCTGGGAGGGCGAGGGCGCCGTGGCACCGCCTCAAGCTGCCAGCCCGGTCGAGGCACCGATGGAGTCGAGCGACCTGGCCGACGAGCCGTTCCGCGCGGAGGCTCGCCCGCGGAGCTGCCGCCGGCGTCGAGCCGCCGCTTCGCGGCGCCAGGCGGTCCAGCACCCCTCGCACCCGCTATCGGCGGTGAGCAGCCGGGGGCGCCAGCGCAGGTGCCAGGCACGCCGCGGGCGCAGGCTGCTGGGCCGAGCGGGCCGTTGCAGGTGTCGCCTGGAGCTGGGGATGCCATGGGCGCGGACTCGCTGCAGCTCTGCGCGCTGCTGGCGGCTTTCGGCGACTGGAGGGTGGCCGTCAGCGAGCTGCATGGGCCAGGGCGCGTCACGTCTCGGTCGAGCGCCTTCGACTTTGAGCCCAGCACAGCCTACGACATCAGGACCGGCTACGACTTCAGCCAGGAGGGCGACAGGCAGCGGGCGAAGGCTACGATCGAGCTAGAGCAGCCGCTGCTGACCACCGGCAGCCCGACGCGCGCGCCGTGGTCGAACCTACAGGCCCTCAACGCGGTCCAGGGCGTGGACGTCAACGCCATCATGGATGGAGCGAGGCATCGTCCACCAGGTCTTCTGTTCTGAGCGCTGCAAGGAGCAGATCAAGGCTGGCCGCCTCTTCATGCGCGAGCAGCCAGCATCATCGAGGAGCTGGCGTCTCTGGATGATCCGAGAGATCGCCGAGATGTTTGGGGTGCACTACGTCGAGTGTGATCAACGTGCGCATGGGCTGTGGTGCAACGATGCCATCGGCCCAGCGCCTGTCAAGAAGCCTACGGGGTGGTTGACCAACTCTGCCGAGATCTCCCGGGAGTTGACGCGACGGTGTCTTGGATGTGTTTGGCATTGCCAGACGGTTGGTCCGGGTCGGCGCGGCATGCGCACCATCGAGCGGCACCCGCCAAAGCGTGTGGCTGCGGTGCTGCGTTGGCTGCGTCGCGAGGCGATCGCCAGCGGCCAGCTGGGTGCGCTGGAGGCTGGGCCGCGCCCCGACGAGCCGCCGGTCTGGGCCGCAGTACTACGCGGATATCGTTGACAACATCAGCGCTGGACCCCGAGCTCGCGGCGGCTGGCCGCAGAGAGGAGATGGAGTTCCTGCGCGGCCTGGGCGCCGACGCGCACGGCACCGAGCAGCGCTGCCGCGAGGAGACCGGGCGCGACCCGGCGCCCATGGTCTGGGTGGACGTCAACAAGGGTGACGATCGCCAGCCCAACGTCCGCTGCAGGCTGTGCGTGGCAGAGACACGCTGCCGCGCAGGCATGGATTTGGGGGGTCCTTCGCAGACGTTTAGCGCGACACCCCCGTATGAGGCACTCAGGATGTTGATTTCTTTCTGCTGCTCGCCCAGGAATGCCGAGGAGGGCCAGCATGTCCTCATGTACCTGGACATCGCGAGGGCTCACCCGCATTGCGAAATGAAGCGGCAGCTGTTGGTGAAGCTGCCGTCGGAGGACCCCTGCTCAGCTGGCCCCAACGTGCGCGGGCTGCTGGCCAGGTGTCTCTACGGCTGCCGCGACGCAGGCCAGAACTTCGAGCTGTTGGTCCGTGAGACGCTTGAGGGCAAGATGGGTTTCTCCTGCGTTGTCTGGTGCCCCAGCGTATACCGCAGAGGCGACGGCAAGCTCGCGGCCTACGTTTACGGCGACAACTTCGTGCTGAAGGGCTCCCGCACTGACAACCTGGAGTTCCACCGCGAGCTGCAGAGGTAGACGTGGGCCAAGCTCGAGGGCACGTTGGGGCCCAACACGAGCACCGGCGATGTTCAGGAGGGGGTCTGTCTGAACCGCATCTTCCGTTCGACCTCGAGGTGACGCGGAGCTCGAGGCGGACTCTCGCCGCGCGCTCATCATGTTGCAGCAGCTGGGCGTCTGGCGCGAGTCGAAGGCCCTCTCGACGCCAGGCGTGAAGCCCAAGAGCGCGGACCGCGGCAGGGCCCTGGAGGGCGAGGAGGCGACTCGCTACCGCAGCCTGTCCATGCGAGCCAGCTACCTCAGCGAGGACCGCCCGGACACCATGTACGCAGTGAAGGAAGCGGCGAAGTGCATGCTCGAGCCGTGCGAGCACGGCATGGATCTGGTCAAGAGGATCGCCAGTATCTCCTGGGCCGTCCTAGGCTGGTCCAGAGGTTTCGCCGCCGGCGTTGGTCGGGCGTGCTCAAGGGCTTCTCGGGCAGTGACTTCGCGGGCTGCTTGGAGACCAGGGAGAGCACGAGCTGCGGAGTCTTCCAGCTGGGGGGCCACATGATCAAGGTCTTCAGCGCGACACAGGGCAGCGAGGCTCTCAGCTCAGGTGAGGCCGAGTGGCGTGCTCTAGTGCGCACCGCGTCCTGTGGGATCGGTTTGGTCTCGCTGGCACGTGACATGAGTTACGAGCAGGAGTTGTGTCTGGCTGGCGATGCTACGGCGGCCAGCGGGATAGCGCGCCGCCGAGGGGCGGGACGCATCCGACACATCGAGACGAAGTCTCTGTGGCTCCAGCGCCATGTGACTGAGCGTCGAGCCATCCTTTCCAAGGCGCTCGGCAAGGTCAACGCGGCAGACCTCGGCGCCAAGCATCTGGCGCAGAAGGAGACAGATGAGATGCTGGGGCTGCTTGGATTGTTCGCGGCTGCGGGCAAGTCTGGCCTCTCTCTCGCGGTCGCAGGCAACCTGCTTGAGCCTGAACCGGCTTGCGATCCCGAGGGCGAAGAGGAGGTGCAGGCATTTGTTTTGTCCATTCAAGGTTTCCCAAGTCGAGGCGACTGATTTCGTTTGTGCAGGCATGTTTTCGTGGAGGTTGCGTGTGGCGAGGCGAGCGATTTTTTCTTTTCAGCTTCGCTGGAGCAACCCGGAGATCGCCTGGGTCGAGACTCGAGGGAGCTCGACGCGGCGGCGAGGAGGGCTGATCGGGTAGCTCTCGGATATGCATGCCGTGACGTCTATTGTTTACCATTGCCATATCTTACCCAAGCTGAGAAGCGGACAGATCGTTTATCAAGCGAGGTTTCTCGGAGTGCAATTCATGACCGACAGTATGGGCACAACAGAGCGCCTGCATCGCCATCACAATGGGAAGTATGTGTTGGAGTACCGCCATGTACGCTACTGCAGGGTGTCGAAGGATGAGTGGTCATCAGGAAGCCCACCCGTGTGCTCTTCATTGGCCCGACCTTATACCGTGATTACCAACATGTTCTACCTCACATACAGTCCGAGGGGAAACGATGGGTTACTTCAACAGGGCACCAGCGTACAGCTGTGACAATACATGGGACTTCTCTCGGAAGGGCCAAGAAGTGAGCCAAGCGGGAGAGGAGAGCACGGAATTCAAACGCTGCAGAATACGCAGCCCCCCCCCCCCCAGCAGCATTTTGGGGTCTCAGGCCTTTCGTCCCTCCCCCCTCTCCTCCCTTTGAAGTCGTGCCGTCGTCTCCTCCTCCCCTGGCTTGGGCGCCCTGCTAAGTCCTCGCGTCTCTTCCCCAGGGCACGTGGAAGGGCCAGCAGCCGCTTTCCCCGCCTTGACCCGAAGGGACTCGTGATGTAAGGTAGCGAGCCTCGCGTACAGGGCCACCTCGGACTTCGGTCCTTGAGCTACGTGGTATGCCCTCTGCCGGCCCCAGTGAGACGGCACGGCTGTTTCACAACAGAGCGCAGGGGATGTGTGGGCGCTCTGACGCTGCACCTCTTTATGCGGATGCCCTGTCTTGTCCTCCTCCTCCTTCTCCTCGTCCTCTTCCTCTTCCTTGGTAAGGAGCCCAGACCTCGGCCACCCGCTGCCACGGTTTCGCCCTTCTGCCAAGGTTGTCGATCCAATGTCGTTGGGCACGCAGCGAGGCGCAGTCGCTTCATTCTGCCAGAGTTGATATTGATGGGCCTGTTTCCCTCCACCACCACCACCATAAGTTGGATGGGGGGAAGGAGGAGGACAACGAGGATGAGGAGGAGGACGAAGGGAACGATGATGATGATGATGATGATGATGATGATGATGTTTATAATAATGATGATGATGATGATGATGATGATGATTATGAGGAGGAGGAGGAAGAGGAGGAGGACAAGTACCTTTTTTCCTACAATGTATGGTGGCCGTGGTGGAACACAGGCTTCTCAGGTATGTCGAAGAAGCAAAAACCAGAAACACATAAACTTCTGGCGCTCCGCGCGGAGCGCCAAAAGTCTATGTCGATGTTTGTTTTCCAATGTTTGTATTTACGTGGTGGTGAGGTACAACATCAACTGGCATCGCCCCCACCGCCGGCCGCCCGTGCCGTGCCCGAGCGGTCGCGAAGCTACCCCCCATCCCTCTGGAGGCGTTCGGGGGCGCTTGGGCCCCGACTCGGGAAAGAGGGGAGTGCCTGCCGCGGCGGGCCGCGAGAAGAGGCGCTCGTTCTTCGTGGCTGCGGCGGCGGTTTGCGCACCGTGCCGTACAGCGCGGGGAAGTCGTCGCGGGAGTCCGATTCATTTTCGCGAGGCGTCTCCCGTCGCTCGCACGATGTTTCCATCCAGCCAGCCCGCATAGCAAGGATGAACGACTTTCCAAGGCCACCATTGCAACCATTTTCTTCGGGCCATGTTTGGTCGCTTTCGCTGGCCGCGCCCCACTCGCAAAGTGTCGACATGGCCTTCTAAGGTTCCTGCATCGTCATCGTGCGTCCTTGTTTTGCGTGTGGACTGTACCGTGGCGGAGTTCGAGGAAGATTCGCGCGATACCTTTGTCTAGGAGAGTAGTGCCCATGCACAGGTGGGCACATTTTCCAGGAACTTGCGCGCGGCGCCAGGGTGAGAGCAACAATTCGAAAACGGTTCGACCTCTATCCGTGTGGATATTGGAAGCGGTTACAGGAGAAATGTGCACGGTGATAAAGACAGTCATTCGCGCTTCATTTTGTTAATCATTTAGGGCTGTAAGTTTCAGGATGACAAGGTGTGGCAGGTTTCCAGCGAAGTGCCTGGCACGCCTTACAGTAATGTCGGCACGCCCTGGTGGCGTGACGAGGAGGGCGTAATTCGTGAGGAATGGGTTCGGAATGGGGGGGTCGAGGACGACGCGGAACGGGGGTGGAGAGATTTTATCAGTTTGAAGCACACCCCTATCCTTATGTTTGCCTTCACCTTACCTCGATACCGATTTTAAGGAGTCCCTCAGTTTCTGAGGGCCCATCCCTCAGACTGTCATCCCTCTTGGCTTGCCCATCTCAGGGGTAGGGATCCGTTCGAGACTGGTTAGGATCAGGACGACGACGAGGTCGGAAGAGGAGGACGGGGAGGTTGGAGGAGGGCGTCGCGCCGATGGAGCGCGCGAGGAGCCCGAGGTGCTCGCCGAGTATGAGCGGGCCCTGGACCGCCACAGGCGCCACACCTCGGGCAGCGGGGAGGGTGGAGGTGGGAGCTCCTCGTCGTCGCCGTCGTCGGCCGGTCCGACGTTGGGCACCGTCGTCGCCGCCTTGTCGTCGCCGCCGTCTGCGCCGTCGCCGCCGTTGCGCCGTCGCCGCCTTCGGCGCCGTTACGTCGTTGCCGCGGGTTTCGCCGTCGCCGCGGCTGCCGGTGCCGCCGCAGTCGCTGCCGCCGTCGCCGTCGTCGATGCCGTCCTGTCGTCTCCGTCTCTGCGCCCTTCTGGGGGGCGAGGGGCCGGGAGGAGGGAGGAGGTTCGTCGAACGAGTCAAGGGGTGCAGACTGGCCGAGGTATGAGATCGAGGTCGATTCGGGGAGGGTGCCCTCTCGGGCCGAACGAAAAGGGGGGGACAGGGAAAGGGGGGGGGGCTACGAAATTTGCTGCATGCAGCTGGTTTCGGTCCCGCCGCCGGGCCCTCCTTACATGGGCACCTCCCGTCGCCGGGGGACGCGGCGCTGGGAAAGTCAAATACGTGGGTTGATTCTCTACCCTACCCTCTGCTATCCCCCCCTTTCGTTCCCCCCGACCCTCACGGTCGTCGTGTTTGTTGGATGGTCTTTGTGCACCCCGGGGAGGGTGCTCTTGGATGTGCTGTGCGTTTTGGCAGGCGGAGGGCCTCGTAAGCTTCAGGGGTGTGAATCTGGCCCGTAGGTCCGGCTGTGTTTTTGGGAGCAGACGCGAGGCGTCTGGGGCATCTTGCTCTGCCTCCTTTTGAGGCCTACAGTGGAGGCCCATGCCAAGAAACACCCTGCTCCTCCTCCCCCTCCACCTCCTCCTCCTCGGTATCCTCCTCCTCCTCCTCCCCCTCCCCCTCCTCCTCCTTCCCTTCCTGCGTGCTTCCGGACAGTCGACCACACGAACAGTGGAGGCCCATGCCAAGGAACATTTTGCTCGCCTCCAGGGTGCCTTGGGGTTCTTGGGTTTCGAAGGTTTCGTTGTGGAAGTCGTGGCGTTCCCGCGCCAAGACATCCATGGACGTCCTGGGGGTCTCAGGGTTGGGTTTCTTGTGGAAGGTTTCTTGTGAACTGGCCTCCACTGCATTGCTCCCCCCCTCGCTCCGCAACCCCCCCCGAGGCTCGCATATCTTTGTGGCTTGCGTTCTCAGTGCCAGTTTTCGGCGCGTGGGAGGCACTTGTTTCGGTTTTCCGTGTCCGTTATCGGTATCTCTGGCAGTCGAACACCCACCCAGGATGTGCAGAATTGGGGAGAGAGTGTATGGAGGTCCGGGACCCCGAGAGTCGAAGGAGGAGGAGGAGAAGGATGAGGAGGGGGAGGAGCCGAGCTGTCGAAGGAGGAGGAGGAGGAGGAGTCGAAGGAGGAGGAGGAGGAGGAGGAGGAGGAAGAGGAGCCGAGCTGTCGGAGGTGTGGGTCGTTGCCCTCCCCAGATCGCCCTCCTCCCTCATCCCTGCCTCGACCGCCCTGCCCCCCCCCACTCGCTCCTCTCTCCCTGGCGTTTCGTAGCTTGCAGTGTCTGGCGGAGTCTCGGGGTCCCCAGAATACCTCCTGCGTTTACATCTGTTCGCTCCTTCTCCCTTCTCGTGCCTCCAGCTTCGTTCCCTTCCTCCCTCCCCCCTCCCCAGGCTGTCCAGAGCTCTCCGGAGTTCTCAGAAGGCCATGGCAAGGAGGGGAGGTAGCGATTGAGGGATGGAGGGAGTTCTGCAGAGTTCTCGGGAGGAAAGGAGGGATGGAGGGAGGGGAGGAAGGAGGAGTAAGATGAGGAGGAGGAGGAGGAGGAGGAGGAGGAGGAGGAGGAGGAGGCTGGAGGAGAAGGAGGAGGAGGCGGGAGGAGGAGGAGGAGGAGGAGGAGGATGAGGAGGATGTGGAGGTCCACCAAGGTCGTCGTCGTCACCGTCGTTGTCCGAGCGGGCGGCCCACGGGCCTGGAGCCTGGGAAGAGAGACTCCAGAAACTGTGGTGCACGATGCTCCTCTTCGACATCCTCGGTCCTCCCTGGTCCCCATTGGTCCTCCTGGATCCTCGCTCCCCCTCGATCCCCCATGCTCGATCCTCCTCCCCTTCCTCGATGTCCTCCCGGATCCTTCCCCCGACCCTTGACCCCCCGAGGCGCATGCGGACCAGGGGCTTCCTCCACGCCGCGGCGAGGAGGCAGGCCATAGCGGGCCGCTACGGCCACAAGTGGGTGCGGACGCACCAGCGGAGAGCGGGAGGACCGGGCGGATAACGTTAAGGCGGGCCTGTCCCTCCACCGGAGGAAAATTCAAAGCTAGTCTGAGAATAGTCTTGGGACGATTTGTTCTCACGATTTGTTCGTAGTATTTTTGTGACTATCTGGGACATTTTTGATATACATATCCATATATATATATATATGCAGATATGTGTATGTATGTATATATATATATGTGTATGTATATATATATACATACACATATATATATATATATATATATATATATATATATATATATAAGCGGCGTCCGGGGCCCCGCGGCCCAGGGTCGCACACTTTTCCCAAACTCCCCCCCCCCCCCGTAACCGTATTTCCTTCTGGGCTGCGGGGGCCTTTTTTGGCATCCAGGGGCCCGTTTTCGGAGTCCCGGGACTTTTTCCGCTTCCCCGAGGCGTCCATTTAGGCTTCTGGAGACGTCAAGAAGCCGCCAAGATGGCCCAAGAGCGCTCCAAGCCGCCCAAGATGGCCCCATGATCGGCCCAAGAGGCCCCTAAGATGCCCCAAGATGCCCCAAGGTCGCTCCGCGAGGACCTCCAAGAGAGCCCCAAGATGCCAAAATCATTGATTTTCAGGGTGCGTTCCCAATTTGTGTTGCTTCTCACGTTTTCGAGCGGCCGACACTCCAAGACTGCCCAAGAAGCCTCCAGCGTCGCCTCAAGAGGCCCCCACGACAGCCCAAGAGGGCCGCATGATCGGCCCAAGAGGCCCCCAAGATGGCCCAAGAGGGCCTGAAGAGGGCCTGAAGACGGCTCCAAGATGGGCCCAAGAGAGGGACCGCGAACCGACCTTTCGAGTTTCCCGCCCCTAGAGACCCCCAGGAGGCCCCAAGAGGCCCCCAAGTGGCTCCAAGAGGCTCCAAAGAGGCCCCAAAGATACTTAAGAGAGGTCCGACAAGCTCCACAACGCCCCCGTGGAGGCTTCAAACCTGCTTCCAAAAGGCCCCCTGAGAGGCATCCTACGATATCATCCCAGCGAACATCCGAGAAGCCTCTAACCCACAACCCAGACACCGTTGCGGGATGGGCCCAGAACTGCAGAGGCTCCCAAGCTGGTCCAAGATATTCCCAGGAGGCTCCAGAGAGCCCCCCAGATGCCCGAACAGGGGCGCCCTCTGCCCCAAGAGGCCCCCAGGAGGCCCCAAGAGACTCCCAGGAGGCCTCCAGGACGCCCCAACATGCCACCAAAAAGGCAATGTCGAGGCCCGAGGACGCCCCCATGACGCTCGCAAGACGCTCCGGGAACGCCTCTCCCGCACTCGTGGGTCAGGTGACAGTGATGCTGATCGTCGGTGGTCCGTGGTCGTCGTCGTCGGTCGTCGCTGGTACGATACAGGCCAAACCCTTGAACTTCGCAGTATCCGCCCGTAAATCACGCATGGGTGAAGGGGAGGAACCCGGAAGACCACATGGAAAAGGTCCCATGGGAATCGACACAGTCCTCGGAGTCGACTAGAACCTGAGCGCGCGCGTGGTTCTGGTTATTTTTGATGTGTCATCCTCACCCCCTTTGTGTAGGGGGACGTGCCCGACCTGAGGCTAACGCAGGGTGCCCGTCCCTCGACCTGCGCCTGCCGCAGCCTCCGCGCGGCAGGGTGCCGCGCGGCCGCGGCCGCTGCCGCGGCCGCCGCGGCGGCCGCAGTCGAGGCCGCAGCGGCGGCCGCAGCGCTGCGGCGCCCTCCGTCCGCGGGCAGGCACGGAGGGCGCAGGCCGAGGGTGAGCCGCCCCGGGGGTCGCCTGGAGGCGGGGCGCGGCATCGGCGCGCGCGGCTCCGGGGCCGTGCCGGGAGGGAGCCGGCGCCGGTCCTGGGCTCCGGGTGGGCTTGACGGGGATGAGTTGGTGTGTGTGTGTGTGTGCATGTGTGTGTGTGTTTGTGTGTGTGTGTGCATGTGTGTGTGTGTGGTGTGTCTGTGTGTGAGGGTACGTAGTGTGTGCGATGTGGCTGTTGTGCCCCACTGTTGTGACACCGCCAGCGCAGCCACTCTGCCTAGCCGCCGACGAAAAATGTGTGTGTGTGTGTGTGTGTGTGTGTGTGTGTGTGTCTGTGTGTGTCTGTGTGTGTGCGTGATTGGGTAAGTGTGTGCGTGATTGTGTAGCTGTGTGAGTGATTGTGTAGTTGTGTGTGTGTGAGTGTTCGTGTGTTTGCGTGTTTGTGTGTGTGTGTGTGTGTTAGTGTGTGTATTCTTGTGTTAGTGTGTGTGTGCGCGCGCACAGTTCTCTTGGTTTGAGAGGGGGGTTGAGAGGGGGGTCGTCCAGGAGGAGGGGGGGGAACAAATCATGGCCCCAGGTACCCGCCTGGCCCAGGCGGGGCCAGGGGGGGCGGGCGGCGCGTCCGAAGGAGATGAGGAGGAGGGCGGGAGATCCAGGGAGATGTCATGGCCGCGGCCGCGGCCCTGGAATTCACGGGCGAACAGCGGTTCAAGGGCGCCTAACCCAGGGCGCTGGAAAGTTTACACCCTTAGGGCGGCACGTCAAGGTGTAAATTTTCCAGCCGCCCTGGGGCAGCGCCCCCGGTGACGGAAGAGTTTATTTCACATTGTTCTTCGCCCGCTAATGACAACGACAGGGCCGCTTTTGTACCAGTTCCGTTTTGACGTTTTTGTTGCCTGTTCCGACGCCGTTTTCGTTGCCGGTTCCGTCGCCGTTTGTTTGCCGATTCCAGCTCCTGCTCCGATCCTGGAGCAGGTTTCGCCGTTACTTGTCGCCGTTTTTTTGCCGTTTCCACGTTCCAGAAATATTCTTCGCAAACGGTAAAAAACAAGGCAAGCCCCAGACATATAGCGCTCCATTTTTGTCGATACGTCGACCACCGGAGGTCTGGACAACTTCCTTGGGGCATAGTTTCCATCCTGCGCAGTCTGTTGACGGTCCCGCGGCCCGCTGAGGACCCCTGGGCGCCGTAAATGATCCCAAAGCGGCCGTTCTATGTGTGTCGGAGCCTCGGATCTTTGAGATGATATTCACACACCCCTTTGGTAGCAAATCATGGGAGCATTGTGTACCTCTGAATGCAGTCTTTAGCGTAGACTAGCGTCAATGAGCGCCTGGAGTCGATGAGACAGCGCCGAATTAAAGTTGGCTAGCGTGGATTAGCATCGATTTAGCGTCGATTTGCGTCGACAAGCGTCGACGAGCGTCGTTTTGCAAGAACCAACAGGATGGTACGGGTGACGCCCATGAGGTCCCACCGACCTTAGCCACGCGCGGAGGGGGGCATGGGGAGGGGGGCATGCCTTTTAGAAGCACCCCTGCTTCTTAGAGCGCGGATCTTCTCTATAGATGTCAGGCCTGCGCCTTCTAAGAAGCAGCTCCCCCCGACCCCTTCTGAGCGCCGCCAAGAGTTCCCACCGAACACCCCTCTTGGACGCCCCCGAAGCCAGCGTCCGTGCGTGGTCCTCTGGGCTCTCCAGCCGGCTGTACCGCGAGAAGCACGGGCTGCCCCGGAAGGGCCGGTCCTGGGCGGGGCTGCGCGACGGCTGGGCGCCGCTGATGACCAGCCAGAGGTCCACCGAGGTGCTGTCGCGATCGAAGAAGAAATCACTGCGTAAGCGTCTACCCGGAGCCACTCGAGTCGTGAACCAAATCACGACGGGGAGTTTTTTTTTTTTTTATATAATTTTCGGCCTCTGGGGGCCCTTATTGGGCATCGGGGCCGTCAAGGACCGACTCAGGAGGAAGAGCCGCTCCCGGGGAATGGGTCGAGACTTCTGGGCATCGACGTCATGAAACAATCATGACGTCGGGGGTTCGGGAACTGCGTAAGCATATACTATACTGTCTGTGGGTGGCGAAATCCGAACCCTACTCTCGTCGACGAGCGATTTGGGCAGCTCGATGGGCGGCGGGGGTAGGGTCTGGAGTTTGTCGAGTACGCGACGAAGCCCGAACCTTGCCCTCGCCAACCATCGGTTCAGGAGAATCGATGGTTGGCGGGGGGGAAGGGTTCGGATGTCACCACCTTTTCGGAGCTCCTTGCGGACTTTTGGGGGATCTGCGCTGGGCCCCCCTTGCGGCGCCTCAGGCGCCGCACTTGGCGCGCTCAAGCCGCGTGAAGGTCCGAAAGTTTGTGTTTATGCAGTTTGTTCTTCCTCTACGTGAGGGGAGTTCCAATCCGTCAACGTTTGCAAGAATGCATGCCTCCCAAATGTCAGAGCTTTCAGAGGAGAAACGGTAATTACCAGTTCCGCTGCCCTTGCCCCTTTTCCGTCTGTTTGAGGCTCCCGGGAGGCCCTCGTCGCCACGGCTAGATTCGATTCGCTTCGAAATTGTTGACGCTTCGCGTATCCCCACCAGACTTGCTCGCTGCTTCTGTCCCCAGCCGCGGCCTTTAGGCTTGCTTGACCCTTGCGATGGCGCGCGGCTCTCCCGCTAGCGCTCGCGAACAAAAAAGTACCCCAACTAGCCTTTTGGACGGCGTCCGGCGTCTCCCGGTGCGCTTGCGATCAAAACAGATCCCCACCAGCCCATCCAGAAACGATGCCCATGAGAGGTGACGGGTGAGAGATGAAGAGATACGCATAGTCAAACAGCCATCTCAGGGCCCGCGTGGGGGGGGGGGCGAAGAGGAGGAGGAGGAGGGGGAGAAGGAGGAGGAGGAGGAGGAGGTGGGAGGAGGCAAGAGGAGCAAGACGAGGAGAGAAGGAGGACGAGGATGAGGAGGACGAGGAATAGGACGGAGAGGAGGGGGAAGGAGGAGGAGGAGGAGGAGGAGGAGGAGGAGGAGGAGGAGGAGAGGAGGTGGAGGGTGAGAAAGAGGAAGAGTGGAATGAGGAGGAGGGGAGAAGGAGGAGGAGGAGGAGGAGGAGGAGGAGGAGGAACATGGCGAGGACGAGGACGAAGGATATAGACGAGAATCAGAGTACGACGAGGAGGAGGAGGAGGAGGAGGAGGAGGAGGAGGAGGAGGAGGAGGAGGAAGACGAGAAACAGGCGGAAGAGGAGGAGGATTAGGAGGAGGAGGATAAGGACGAGGAGGGCGACGAGGATGAGGACGAGGAGGGGGACGAGGACGAGAAGGACGAGGAGGACGAGGACGAGGACGAGACGGCGTCTTGCGTGTCTCGGGTGAGCTTCTTGGGCCTCTTGGGGGGCCGCTCAGGGGGCCTCTTTGGTGCCTCTCGGGTGCCCCTTGGAGGCCTCTTGGGGCTACCTGGGGGCCTCTTGGCTCTTGGAAGCCCTGGAGGGCCCCTTGGTGCCATCTTGACGGCGGTCGGTCAAAAGAGGGGGGGGTCCTCGATGTCTGCCCCCCCCCTTCCCTGGGGGCCACGATCCTCGTGAGCGGTGTCAAACATTGGCCCTCCCAGTGCCGAAAAAGGACCCTCTGACACATCGGCCCCCCTTCCCAACAACAAAAACAGGGAGGGGAGAGGGAGGGCTCCTCTCCCCGAAGGGAAGAGGGGTTGTGGAAGGAAAAGAAAGAAAGATATCATCACCCTCACGTAGGCCACCCGTCGCCCAGAGGGCCGGCGGGATTGTGGTCAGGACGCACCTGGTGAGAGGTCTGGGGGCTAGCGGCGTCGGTGCTTTTTTGTCTCCCACGGTCCCCCCTCTCGGCCACTGGGTCGGGCGTTGCGGCGTTGCGTACTGGGGGGGGGGGCGAGGAATGGGGGGGTGAGGAGAGAGGTGCCCCTGCTGCGCCCGAGAAGGGCCTCCCAAGGGGCCCAGAACGGGCACGGAAGGTGTACGTGTCTTCGCCCCCCTCCGCGTGGCCGCCGCAGGCGGGGCATGGCGCTCCCAGGATCGTTTCCAGTCCCAATCCGCCGATACGCCCGCGCATACAGAGATAGGCCCCATGCCAAAAGAGATAGTTAGATCGGAAACTGTAACATATACATTACCAGTGACGTGCTGTGTTTCAATCCCTGGACTTTTGAGGGTCAGGGACGGCGTCGGGGTGGTGTGGTGCATAGTTTTTCCCCCGTTTTCCTGGGGAGATGACGAAAATGTATACACCAGCATCCCGTATACACCAGGATCCGCTTTCGTGTGCGAGTTTCAGTGCAGGGCCGGAAAAAGTGTCGGTGTATAGAGTTCAGTTCCCTATGAGACCTACAGACTCTTTTAAGGTGATCGCCCCCCAGGAAGCGACACCCATCGGGGGGCCCTTCTCGGGCTCGGGGGGCACGGAGCAGTGCCGTTCGGGACGGGGAGAGCGGGCCCCCTCTCCGGAGGCGCGGGGGCCGCGTGTCGAGCAGGTCTGGGCCGTGGAGGTCCACCGAGGTACGGCAGGTTCGTGCGGCGCTGGCGCGCCGGCGACGCCGGCGAAGGCGTTCAAGGTTGTGAAGTTCAAGGTTGAATTCCGCATGGCAGGACGGCGCGGAAGCACCGAGGGACACGGTAGAGCGCCCCACGGCCCGACGGAGTCCGATGTTGATTGATCGGGGCCGCGGTGGGTTCGAGGCTGAACGATCGACGCGGTGTGAAAAACAATTGCGCGCGCCGACGCCGCACGAAGCTACCGTAACCTCGGTGGACCTCCACAGCCGAGACTCTCAACACGATGCTTCGTTCCTCGATCGAGGAGGCCAACCTGGTTGGCCTCCTC